AGCCATGTTGTACGTGCAGATTCGGATGCCAGCTAATTCGAGACCTTGAGATAGCAATGGCCTTGCAACTAGCAATTTTTAGTTGACTCAAACTGTTTCTTTTTAAACCGTTGGAAAATTGAGTCGGAGTCGTGCCGCCGATTACGAATGTTTACCGGCGATGGCGTTATTCGGTTCCTTGATGTCGTGCCGCGGAGAAGGTGGGGAAACTGTTGCTGAGCGGACAGAGGCCGACCGATCATTAGATGATGCGGGGTCTAACCACTGACGTGCGATATGATGACCTGGATGTCATCAGAAAACGGCAGGCAATTGGCTATGTTCGTCTATGAAGGTCTCGGATACATATGATGTGGCACATTCATGACAAAGCTTCAAAAAGGGACAAGTCTGAAGATGTTGATACACGCTACTGAGAGAAATCGCTAGACTGAACACAAAATCCTCCCGACGCATGTCTCATACCATCAATGACCACTATTTCGTCTTCTTGTCTTGCTCTTGTTTCCATTTCTCGCCAAGCTGCTTCACGTCCTCGTTGTTCGCTATGATGGCTTCTTTTGCGCCGGGCCAAGTCTTTCGGCCTCTCCCGGTGTCAAACAGACGGAGCAATGGCGGCGAATTAACGCCATCCGTAAGCAAGCTATAGAACTTTCGATCGTTCCACCATAGCTTCCATGCATCGAGGCTGAAGCACAGTAGGCGATCAGTTACCCCGGTACCAGCAATCTTGTTCAGCCAGATGAAGGTGTCGCTGCCGAACATCCGAGCACCCATGTGCGGCACCGGCCCGCGCCCGAGAGTCTCCACAACCGTGTCATAGTGGGCATCGATGTCTCGCGCCATCTCCTTCCGGTCGGGGATCGGCGCTTGACCAGACCAGAGACTGCTCAGTGCCATTGTTGCAAGATCGTAGACTACAAATGGGGGCCCCATAATGAGAAAATGTCCGAGGACGGCGAGAGACTCCGGGTACTGCTCAGAGATGAATCCGCGATAAAGACGGGGGAGGGTGTCGTGAGGGTCTTTGTACTTGGCTGCATTAATCCGCTTGTAATTGTCGGGGGCCTTCTTCGGGTCGGTGGGGTTTCCGGCGCCTTTGATGAGGGAGAAATCGTAATGGTACCCGGAACAGACTACGATGGCATCGATATCATCGAGTACGGTGCCGTCAGTCAGGGTGACGGACTTCGGTCCTGTGATCTCCTGGACTCCCGTGACCGCCTTCACCGAGCCATCTCGAAGATTATCCGCCAGGTCGTTGGAGAACGTAGGGATGCGATGCTCCACTCCGTCCAATTTGCGAGGGGACATGAAGGATGGATGCTTGTCAAGCCAAGGGAAAGCCTTCCTCCGAGCGCTAACCATTGCTTTCGAGAACAGCATTGCGCAACCTCTGGGCCACCAATCGCCAAGGGTTCGGATGATTGTCATAGCTCGTAGAGACATCGTATGGTCGAAAGCCTTGCCATTCATCATCCGAGGCAGCTGTTTTGATCAGTGGTCAGCTTTTGACAACATCCAGAATCAGGGTATGGCCTTCAATACGTACCAAGTAGTACTGGCCCCGGTGACTGAGGTAAATCGATTTTGCCTTGGCCTTCTTTAGGAACGATTGTGTATCAACACCTGTGGCTCCGACACCCATAATAAGAACATTCTTCCCCTCGTAGCGATTGGGCTCCTTGAAATCCCTCGAATGCACCGCCTCTCCTTCGAACTTGTCGATTCCCTTGATATTCACGTCGACAGGCACATTGAGAATACCGGTCGCGATGACAATGCGATCAAATATTTGTTGTTCTTCGACTGCGTTCTCAGCATCTGACTTGGTGCTGCGAGTGTAAATCGTCCATTTGTTGGCATCATCATCGCGCTCGATCTTGGCGACCTTCGTCGAGAACTGCACATGGCGCTTCAGATCAAAGTTGTCCGCATACGCCTCGAGGTAGCGCTCGACGTCCTTCGCGGGTGGATGAGTGGGAACATCTGGATACCAGGGAAGTCAGTATTTGATGTAACAGCATTTGGGTGAAAGGAGTGGATACGCACCCTTTGGGAAAGGGAAGTCTGTGTAGTGGCACTGATGACCTCGTAAGCTGGTGCTGGGCGCGGCAAGACATGCATCTGGGAGAGCAATCCTTACTGTTTGCTTGGAAGTGTTGAATGATGTCCAGGGAAGCGCAGTGGTCTGTCCCTTCCTGGGGCTGAGATGCCAGTTTCCGCCGATGAATTCGTTTTGCTCGATGGCGGTGACTTGTAGACCTTGCTCGATGAGGTTCTTCATCGCAACTAATCCGATCATGCCAGTGCCAATCACAGCAACATGGCCTCCAACCGTGGAATGTGACTGAGACGAATCCATCTTATGGGACAAGAGCGAGAATCGCCGATCAGCTCAAATGAATCAACAGACTCCTCGGATGAATTTGTACGACACTTCAAGTATCCAGATCGGGCAAATAGACATAAATACTGACACGTTGGTGCACAACCGCCTCCTGGACTGGGACATTGGCTCCCTTTATCCAGAAGCTCACCATAGCTACCTGACGAATTTCCGCCATGGCGATACAAGGTCATTTCCCAATCCGGATAGCTATCTGACATAGGGCTCGGAGACATTTTTCACCAGGTGTCGGCGACTTCTTGGTCTTCAGTCATTGATGGACATGGATCCTTCAAGCCACTCAGACGGATATTGCCCGCATGTTAGGCTGCCACACTACCTCTGCCGATGTGAAAGACTCGGACAGCGCCATCAAAGCCACAGAGGCATGGGCCTGCAGAAGGGTCGACCCCTTGTGAATGAAACAGGGCATAGTCCAATTGGATTTGGCATTGATAACCACCATTACTGTCGCAACAAGGGTCTTTCGTAGGGCTTACGCAGCGCGTAAGCAGCCCAAGGATCTGGCTCCGACCACGCCTTACTTACTGCAGTTTAGGCTGGAAATAATTGGCTGTCCCTCATTTCAGAATGGAACTTCCGCTGCTGTGGAATTACGTCGCAGAGGCGTGGACTGGAAGAGTGCGGAGTATTCTATGCCGACGCAACCAACCCATACCAAAAGCATCAACAAACCCCCAAACTCCGCATCCGTAAATCCAGCGGGTCACTATTGTTATCGGATCTCTTGAGTCAACCTTATCCCGGTATGATGTCGGCGGATGAACGGGACGAAAGCCCGACTGCACTTGTCCACTGCGGACTTTCCCTTGCGGTTGGATATTGCGCGCGCAACGGCACCAACGGGTGAGCGTCTCTGAATTGAAACCATTTCACATTGTTCCAAAGTCCCACCCACCCTTGTAGTCGCTTCCAACCCCGCTTAGATCCCACTCGATTTGAAAAGAGCAACCTCAAGCTCCAAGGCCGCACGAAACAGACTATTCCACTTTCCACTTTTCAACTGCCTTTCCCATCCATACCTGCGGACCAGAAGGCCCTGTTCGCCTCCACGAACGCTGGAGTTAAATATGAAAGTTAGCATTTGATATACTTCAGTGCAGAAGAGAGAAGAGCCTTTGAACTCGCACCTAATAGATGATCTGCTGATAACGTGTCGAGATTGGGTTTAATCCAGGTGTGATAGAAGACCGCATCTTAACGATTTGTTTCTTATCAGTCGAGTATCTCGTCCGATTGAAAGTGATGGGTACCTTTTCGCGTCTTTGGATCATCATCAACCATCTTTCCAAGCTTCGGACACCCCTTTTTGAAACAAGCAAGCCAGCAATAATGCTAGTGGGGAGTAGGAACCTCACATAAACACAGGGAATCACAACGGCATGTAAATCGAACTGGTCGTCAATGGATGCATGTCTCTGTAGCACGTTAGCGTAGGCTAGTTCCGCTACAGATCTCTCGGATCGAGAAGGACTTTCGGCGTCACATATAGCTCGCCAAGTAGTGTGTCTCGCCAGTCGTCAACCCACTGTATGCTGCAGCTGAGGCTGGAGGCTTCCTTGGCCAGACTATCCCAATCGTCTTCAGGGATTGCGTTGAGTCTAAGAGCCTTGAACCGGAGTAGTCTTGCTCTGTCCCAAGTAAGACCGTTTTATTGGCTTAGTACTTTCTCAAGGATATCAAAGATAAATACGTCCCAGTTCATAGGCTTGATAGTAGAGCAACACCAATTCGGCGGTATTCTGCGCGGCGAACCAGACGAGCGCATTGTCTAGAAAAGCAAGACAACATCTTCGTTGCTTGGTTCACTCCATATTGTGTTGATGAAAGTGTCGCTAATCAAAATCAGTTGACTCAAACAACAAGTGACCTTTTCCTCAAAACATATCAAGTGTCTCTTGCGGGGAACCCCTCGGCTTGCCAAAACAGCATCAAGGTTGATGTCTGCAATCGCTAACGAAATGCGGGGGGGACATGTGGTGAAGGTAGATCGAATGGCCCGGTGAAGGAAAAAACAGACACGGCCGCGCAAGAAGAATGCTTCGATGTCAAAATAGAAGTGCGCATGAAACATTGAAGATTCAAAAGGCTCAGGATAGCTATGATATCACCACGAATGCTCAATGAAAAATATTCCAGTCATTGAGTCAGTCGATAAGGAAGCCGCGGTGGGTTCAAATACATCCCAGCCACTGCAGATGAAGCGCAGGTAAACTGTACGTATAGGATCCTGACAGATAGCGAGGAAATCCCGCTTGAGCATCGAATCACAGCACAAGTTGCAATGGGTACGAGTTTCTGTACACGTAGTACAACCAAAATCCATTCTCTCTTGCCGTAGAAGCTCTTGTTTTACAGCAGCTGTAGTGTTGATCAAAGCTGGGACCTCACACAACATTTTGGAAGTGCGGAAGGCGAACTGCATCACCAGGTGTGCCAGGCCTGAAACGTGAATGTGAGGACGCAGAATGCCTCATCCAGCATCCATGGATATATAGAGTCAGAATGTTTTCGAATATTGTTTCTCATTTTCTCCCTCCTCAATGCTTCTCTGCATCTGGTACATCATGGGGGCGGATGCCTTTGCTCATTAATCAACTTTAAAGACGATCTTCTCGGCCGAGATCTTTCCGTCTCTATTGAGATCCATGGCCTGTGCGACTGTATTTGGACTGAGGCTGCCCAGTATTTTAACACTCGGAGGTCTCAAAGCTCCCTCATGAAGAAGCTTCGGAAGTTGATCGTGAAGGTCTAAGCTCAGTTTGTGATTTGGGATGTTTACCTGAAGCAGGACCCATTAGCAAATAATGTCTTGCTTCCACCATTTTGCTACGTAAAGCGATACAAGAGCGTGACTTACTGGCCAGTGTGCCTTTCCGCGATAGGTATGCGCGGTTGGAAAGGCTGTGAAAACGAAGACGTCGGAGACATCAACTGTTGCCGGCACGCTCTCTGTATTGGCTTTGCCTGGACGAACGGTGCATAGGCGGCCTGTAGAGTCTTTGAGCGCCTTCGAAGCAGCGGCCGAGGATGAGGCATTGCCAATGGTGTCGAAGACATGTTCCAGGTCCGGTACAGCTTCTCGAATGCGTGAAATTACTTCCTTGTCGTTATAGTCAAATGCAAGGGTAGCACCGGCTGATTTGACCTTGTCAAAGTTTTGGGGGCTACATGTGGTGATAACCTCATATCCGTGTAGCCTGGCAAGCTGTACAGCAAAGTAGCCAACAACAGCTTTAACGATGTCAGTCCCCTTCGCGATGTTCTTGGCGATCTGGATGCTCACAACTTCCACCCCAGATAAGAACCGAGGCTCCCTTTGAAGAGTTTCGCGGAAGGCCTAGGCAGTCCGAGGAGAACAGCGCCAGCCAAGCGGTGTTGGCCGCAAGAGGAATTGTACTTGCCTCTGGGGCGCTGATGTTTTCTGGGATATGAAACGATAGTCTTTCATCCGCTATAGTGTGTGTACTGTGAAGAGAAGATCAGACTTCATTCGCCTGAGCTCTGCCAGGCGCGATAAGAGGGACTCACGAGTAAGCACCCAGACCGGGAATCTCGCCTACAGAAGTATCAGAAATGATTCGATGAACTCAATGGCATCTCACTCGGGAAAATGCACGTACCACCCCAGATGAAGGCAGCGATTTTACTGCCGTTAGCGAACTTGCTCACGCTGGGGTGAGCTTCCACCACCTCTCCCGCAAAGTCGCAGCCCAAAACAGCGCCGTCGCCAAATGCGTTGACATCGAGAGCCAGTCCTATTGCCAGTCAGTACGTGGGGGTTAAAAGACACCATGTGTGTCTCGTACGGTCTGTGGGATTGAAGGCTGCATGGCTGATCCGAACATAAAGCTGATGCTCCTTGAGGGAAGGCAAACTGACTTCCTTGGCGACGAGGGACCTCCCTTCTTGAACGATTGCGTTGGCGCGCATGATCAGAAACCGGGGTATCAGGACTAATCGCTGGCGCTACAATTGTTGCTGAGCTGCAAGCAGATGATACTCGTTTCTTGAGGCGGGGTCAACTTCGGAGGGTACCCGGGGGCGTTAGTCAGCCACGTCAAGCACTAAACTCCCCCTACTCACGTAGGGGGCGAAAATACTGGGTTTCCATGCAAAGAACTGGTTTCCACCCCTAATATCACTAATAACTCTATAGCCCTAAGCCTAAAAAACGCTTTTTATAGCTTAAAATTAACCTTAAAAAATCGTACAAATTCCTATATAAGTATAATATTTATATATATAATAGTTCTTTAAATATTTATAGAATTAGTTTATATAGACCTTAATTATAAAGGATTTATAACCCTAACCCTAATTCTAAATAAGTAGATATTTAAAAGGATTTTTTATTAGAATTATTATATATTATACTAGTTTATATAGCTTAATACTAATTTAATATAGTATTATTATATTAGATTTCTTAGGTTTTCTAGGAATTTTATTTTTCTTAGGAATTTCTTAGAAAAAATAAATTCTTAGAGAAAACCTATTATTAATACTATATATATCTAACTTACTATACTATATAATAATATAAAAGTAGTTTCATATAGTATAAAAATCTCTTTAAAAGTTTATAGTATATATACTTAGGGTTAGGGTTATAGTTCTATATAAAAAGAAAGATATATTTTCCCTAATAACGAAAAACGCTTATATATATAGTAATATACTTAATATAATAAGACTACTATAATAGGAATTTTTGTGATTTTTAAAGCTTAATTATAAGCTATAATACTATAATTTTAGGGCTAGGGCTAACGAGTTATTAACGATAACCTTAGTGGAAACCAGTTTCTGTAGTGGAAACCCAGTATTTTCGCCCCCTACGTGAGTAGGGGGTTCTGCGCAAGCGCAAAAACCCCCGGGTAATTCCGATGTAGCGCATCTGATAGCGCGGTCAAGACACGCCCTAGACGCCCTTCCTGCGGGGCCGAAGGTCGGCCCCCTTCACTTGGGCGCGATGTCGACGCCTCATCAAGCCACCAACGTGGCTGCACCGCGGTTCAGTTCTGCTGTCATCAGTTCAATTCGTAAATAAAAGGTCGGCCAAAGCATCACCATTTCGACTGATACCAAATCTCAGCAGCAACCATTGCGTAGTCACCAGCATCCATCATTCACCTCAAGCACCAACATGTCGCAACAAACGCTCTGCCGTGTTTCTGTTCCCGAAGGAAAATACGAGTTTCTTTGCATCATTCCAGACAAGCCTGGAACTCGCGAGAAACGCATCGAGGTGCGATCGTGAGTATTTGTCGACACCGTTGCCGATTCTTGTGCATCTACTGATTTTGTCATTTTTAGCCAGCACTTCGCCAACGCCATGCCTTTGATGGAGAGTGGAGTCTGGAAAACAGGCGGTATGAATATCCCCCCTACTAAATCATTTATATTCGCCTGGCATTCGGCTAATAACTCGATCAGGTGCCCTTTTGAACAGTGTTCCTAAGAGCGACAACTCGGATGATATGTCTTTCGTTGGCAGTCATGTCGTTGTTGTTGGTGAGTCCATTGAACAGGTGCGAGAGGACCTGAAGAAAGACGTCTATGCGACGTCTGGTGTTTGGGACGTAGAAAACGTGAGTGAACGATACTTGCGACATCACAACAATTCTAATTATAACTCCAGGCTCAAATTTACGCATTCCGCGCTGCGTGGAGAAACCCCTGAACTGTTCTCACGATAATGACGTCCAATACATGGTCATCATGAAGGCCTTTCAATATTGAGTGACGGAAGGATGCAGCAGAAGGGGCAGAACCTCCTGCACTACGGTCGGGGTGGGGCCGCGTCCGTTTCGGCCTCCGACTTGGTTCTCGGGCTGCTACTTCACGAATATCAAATCTTTTTGTCTTTTCCAATCAACGTTGCACCAGACTTTGGCAGTCTGTAGCTGGTAATGAGTTCACGAATGCCAGGCCAGTGGGAGTACGTCAAGGGATGTGAAGTGGATCCAAAGCCCAGCGAGCATCTCGCCTAAAACCTGCAAAGAAAGCGATAGCTCTGATATGAGATGATTCTGATTGGTGCGCTCGAAAATTGATCCCCCTTTGGACCTTGAAATCTCTACTCGGAAGCGATCTCTTTTAGAACTTTCGGCAAGTTTATGGGACTTCGGCGCGTTTCCAGCGCACTGCGCGAGTGACCGCGCTCTTGGGACCGGGGGCTTGGAGACACGCGCATGCCCAACGGTAAGCTGACTGCAGGCTGCCAAGTGAGTTTTGCCGGTCCAATACCCTGGAGACCAATGATTGTGCGCTAAATATGCCACCATAATACCAGTGGATTCTCCTCCCATTGGCGCAGAGTCCGATCTGTGACCTTCCCCGATGAGGAGATTGGCGGTCCTCGTTGACACGATAGCTGATTCTCGATATAAAAAGGACAGCATCCCTTCGGTCAGCCCCAAAGTCCCTTCGGGCCTATACCTGAGAAAGTCTTGCACATCGCAAAGATGAAGGACGCAACACTCATCATCGGCTTTGTTGCCGCCCTGTTTGCTGTTTTCATTATAGACAAAATTATTCAAGCGAGAAAGAATGCCCAACGCTTGCCTTTGCCACCCGGCCCCCGGGGCTATCCCATCATCCAAAATATGTTCGACCTTCCCAAAAAGGACACATTCGCAGCCCCTCAATATGCAAAATTCAAGGATAAATATGGTGAGCATGAACACTGCAACAAGAAAACACTGCGCCTAACCACTGTCGGAACTCAAAAAGGTCCCATCACCGCTCTTAAGGTCATCGGAAAGCCGTTCATCGTCATCAATGATCCTCAGGTCGCCCTAGATATCTTGGAGAAGAAGTCCGCCGAGTTCTCATCAAGACCAAGCTTGACATTTATTGGTGAATTGTACGCCTTGGCAATCCTCGAAGCCCTTCGGTCTTTCGATATCGATTCGCGTCTAACACTAATCAAGGGTTGGCTGGGACAAGGCGACGGGCGGCATACCTTACAACGACATCTTCCGCCTCCATCGCAAAGTCTTTGCTCGCATCATCGGAACTAAAACAACAGCAGCGCAATTTGATGAGCTTCAGGAAGCCGAGGTCGGTCACTTCCTGCTGCACGTTCTTGACAACCCGGGAAATCTGAAAGAACATATCCACAAGTAGGTCAAACTCGTGTTCATGCGCTGGAAACGACACCTAATATTGGATGCTTGAACTTTAGGGAGGCTGGCACTGTGGCACTAAAAATTGCCTACGGCTATAACGCCGACCAGTTCAAGAAGGATCCCCTCCTCAGCAAAATGAATAAAGTGATGGACGACTTCGCACGTTCAGCAGTTCTTGGACGTTATTTAGTTGACTTCTTCCCGATTTGTAAGTTAGTCAACGATTATGTGGTGTCTTGTGTTATAGTTATGGTCTAATACACTGAAAACCCATAGTGAAATACCTCCCTGATTGGTTCCCGGGTACTGAATGGAAGAGGCAGGCCAAGCAATACCGGGCCGCGTTCCACGATGCCGTTGAGAGACCTTACAAGTTCGTTGAAACTCAAATGGCCGAAGGCAGAGAAAATCTTTCGTATCTCGCCAAGGCGATGGCCACCAGCGAGGACACCCCGGAGGATGTACACAACAACATGTGGACCGCGGGATCGATTTTCAGTGGCGCCGCTGACACAGTAAGATACTCCTCAGCCTCAACGCAACTTTGACCGAGGCTTTTGAGAACTGAAGCTGATCAATATCAGTCCGTGGCATCAGTAAATGCGTTTTTCCTCGCTATGGCCAAGTTTCCTGAGGCACAAAGGAGAGCCCAGGAAGAAATCGACCGAGTTATTGGCAGTGACCGTCTGCCCACTGTCAGCGATCGTGACAACTTACCATACCTGGAAGCACTCATCAAGGAAGTACTACGCTGGCATACAATTGCCCCGATGGGTCTCCTCCACATGAGTTCTGAGGAGGCAACGTACTCCGGCTACCGAATTCCTAAAGGCTCCCTCGTACTCTGCAACATCTGGTGAGTGTCTCGACTCAAATAACTAACTCGGTTTCATTCCAACCATTCGGGAGACTTCATTGACGCGATGTACGAACAGGTGGTTCATGCACAACCCAGAACTCTACAAGCACCCCTCCGAGTTTCGACCCGAAAGGTTCCTGGGAGCCGAACCAGAGACCGATCCGCGTAGATACGTGTTTGGGTTCGGTCGCCGCATCTGCCCTGGCAAGATTCTTGCAGATAACTCGCTCTATCTCAACTTCGCCCAGTCGCTGGCCGTGTTCAGCATTGGCAAACCGGTTGCCAACGGTAAAGAGTACGAACCAGATTTTAAGCCGTTGCCAGGAGTGATTAGCCACGTAGGCCCTTACGAAGCGACGATTAAGCCTAGATCGCCCCGACATGAACAGTTGATCCGGTCCATCAAGCAGAGGTTTCCTTGGCAGGAGTCGGACGCGAAGGGACTGGAGGCAGTGTAGACCCCGACTTGTGATAGTCTGTTCATGATTGCGGACAAGACCCTGTGATCCGAATCAGTGGCATATAGATAGGGAACAAGAGTGCATTCACCTCCCTCTATGTTTACGTGAGGTTTTGACATCCGATTCAAACTATCTTCGGTTATCGATTTGCAAAACAGATCCACCATAGGAGGAGGGCATCACGATCGCAGGAGGCCCGAGGGCCCACCATATTCAACGTCGGATGATCGTGGTAGGGAACCCGCTCAACATGGCTTCTTAGGCAATGGGGGATCTGTACGTCTCGTAATACGAGAGTTGCAGTGACATGATCCTAGTCTGGTTGAGGCGCCTATGCGTCTCGGACACCCGGTGGGAGGCTGTCAGCGAGTTGATCGGTCGTGCGGATAATCCAACGAGCCATAAATGAACCACAGTTGGCTGGTGTTCACCTCGGAAACAGAATGAATTACCATGGAAGAATACATGTAAGTTGAAATCGAAACGAGGGTCAATTAGCCCTGCATATGGGCGTCTCGCGGGAGCGACCTCATCGCGTCGCCAAATCTACCCAAAACACAATCCCAAAGTAGCAACTCGGCAAAGGAAACCCCTGCAATTGCCAACTGCTGGATGTTTGAATTGGCCTTGGATGTAACAATTTTACGCGATTGTGGGGAGACTCTGAGACGACAGCATGGTTGTCTCGAAAGCCGAGGAGGCCGGAAACAGGGGTGTTCGTCTCAACTGCCACCTCCGCCTCCTGATTCGTCTCATCTCTACCAAGAGTTGCAATTGACCCCTGATAAGCTTGATTCGATTGATCTGCAAGAGAATCTTAAAAGAGCCGCTTTCCCGTCATGTTTGCATCTGGTTGATCTCTGGTCAACAACCTGCGAGCGGGAAATTCACTTCAATCTGTCAATTTTTGTAAAACAATCCTGGCCGGCCAGACTTTTGCGAGCGTCGCTTTCCAATCGCTACACACCAACCCCAAAATCAACACCTCACTCTCCATCTCACGGCCAATATGAAGTTCCAGGCCATCCTCGTCGCCCTCGCGAGCATTGTCTCCGTCTCAATGGCTGCACCAACGCCAGCAAAGTCCGATTCTGTCCCCGCTAAGGAGAATAGCGGTGGTCGCACTGTCTTGGATGGTGCCCAGTGCAGCCCTGTACAAGGTCGTCTCGTTTGCGATGATGGCTTCGGAAACACCTTGTAAGTCCATGAGCATTGTTGATGAGAAGATTGATCGCTGACCATGCATAAGCTTCGCCGACGACCCGTTTTCCTCTTAGAGATCCCAAATGAAGAAAATTCTGTAACATTGTTGCCTAAAAAGTCGGGAAATCGTCCAAGTTACGACGCATCTGGACGGCGTGAGGCCTGGAAATGAATAAATTATTAATATTGATGGATCTGATTTGACGGAAAAAATGCACCTATTGAGAGCATGCTCCTTATCGAGGGATGTGTATATCTCCACGTGACGATGACGGACTCCACTGCATGAACCTGGGGCGCAGGGATCTCATGTCGCTTACCGCGTTCAACATGATGCTGTTCGGCCGAAGCGTCACCAACCCATTGATGGACAGCATCTGCTTGGAATCTTCTGACTAGATTTCGTCTATCCTTCCTTTATGTTGCAATATCAAGCGTCGTAACCGGCATGGCGTCATTGGTCAATTTGCCTGGCGAGCTGCACCATCTCATATTCTCCCACTTTTCCACGGACACGAGAACTCCCGATGGCGGTGAGAGCGCAGAGTTCGGACAAAATCGCGCGGGCATCCACACTTTAACCCTTCTCTCACGGACCTGCCGCGGTCTCAACCACGCCGTCAAGCCATACCTCTACGCGGAAGTCAATCTTGGGTCACAAAGCAGCCGGAAGCTCGTTGCCTTGCTGAGACACTTCGTCAACGACCCATACTCGGGCAGCTGTGTTCGATGGGTGCGTATTGACTGGGATGACCTCCTTTGCCAGAAATTCGATTGCAGTGATCAAGAAGCCAACTTTCTTGCCGACGTGGCAAGAAGCCTTCATTTAGATGTACCGCCGGCTCCGCCTTGGTATTCTGCAGACTGGAGAAATGGCTTCTTGGCGGGCATGGTGCTTCTCAAGTCGAGCGGTGTTGAACTTGTGGATATCGAGGGACACAATCAAAGTTTCTGCTCTAGTATTCCAGAACAGTCCCCCCGGCCCGAACTTCGACAATTCAGACAATTCAATCATGCATGGCATACTCGGACAACCAAATCCACGAGAGATTTGCACCGCCTCATTAATCTTTCGCCGCATCTCCAAGGTTTCCGATCAGCTAAGTATCCTGTGGCGAATCCGGATGAGATTAATTGGACTGAAGTTACCAGCCTGGTTCTGGAAGAAAACGAGAATTGCGGCGGGGCTCGTGTAACGACAGACGGAATTGTCTTCGTCGTGCGATCATGCCAGAAGCTCCATGATGTTCGGATCAAGCCGAAAGATCGTGGAGGCCCTGCCCCAATTATCGACGCTCTTCAGACATATCATAAGGACACCCTGAAAAGGCTTACACTTGTTTCATTCCCTTCCGAGGAAACAAACCTGGATATCTCATTCAGTGCGTTCAATGCACTCGAAGTTCTCGAAATTCATGGGAACATTTGCAGACCTGGGTTCGCCCTAAAAGATCTCCCTCATTCACTACGGGAGCTGCGATTGGACGGTGATTTCCATGGCGTTCGGGAAGACTTCGAAATCTTTACTTCAGAGTTCATTAAGGGGTCGTATCCCCATTTCGAAACGGCCGGATTTCAGCCTATGTATTCATGCTCTCATGAAAATTGCCCGTTCATGTTGGATGGCCATGTAATTGTTGAGGATATGATCCAATACAGAGATTGGCATTTTGACCAGGCTGAAGCCGAAGAATACGAAGGCGGGAAATGCAGGACGCAATGGGAGATAATCTACGGGCTTGTCAATGCGGGAGTTAACGTCTGGGTTGATTAAACACAAAGCTGGAAGATTTCCTCGCAACTATATCAATTGTTTGACAATACATCATGAGACTCTGCCCCCAAGCGCGTCAACCAGTACGGTGACTAATTTACCTTCCCATCCAAGATTTATCTATCATCTCTTCGACACTTACGGGGCGTATGTCCGGAAACTTGTCATTCATCCGCTTTTCTTTTGGCATCTCCATTAAATGACCGATGATAAGTCGCCCAAAAAACGATGTCATTTGCTTCATCCGCAGGGCCGCATCTCCTTCCAAGTCCTCCAAAAGAGTGGCATCATTGTTCCTCAATTTCTCCTCGCTGTCGTGTGTTACATCGAAGATGCCCCCTGGCACAGCAAGTTAGCTCCCATGTACGTGCCATATGTTTGGTGTCATTGCAAAAGACCAACCTCGAACGTTTTGAATCTTGGCCAAAGCCTCATTCAAAGTCACATCGGAACCGACAGCGATGCTGTACTCGGGCCAGTCCTCGGATTCGAGCGAACGAACAATGAATCGTGCGACATCGTTTGAGTGAATCAAGCTGATGACATCGTTACCAGAGCCAGCAATCACAGCCCGTCGATTGTAGACGTCGATTGACCAAAGGCCTGGCGACATGTGACTGGGGAAATGAGGCATCCCCCAGTAGTCCATGAGATAGCCATTCACAAAGCGCGTGTACTGTAAATTAGACCTCTTCAGCCTCTCAGCAGTTTTGATCCACGGTGTCGGAAAGGTTTCATCTCTGCCGTCTCTTTCAGAAATACGTCAGCTTCAAGGAGCACATTCGGAAAAGTAGCTTAGTCCATACTCAGGTCTGTTGAGAACTCCGAATTCGCTGGGTATGAAGCGCCGGGCCGTCTTTGACGCTTCTGCCGCATCGATCAAGTTAAGTTGCGACTTGAACGAGGGCTCGGAGTGCATGGAGATGGCACTGACGATTGTTTCGATCTTGTGCGAGTCCAATACTTTGACCAAAGATTCCACGTCCTCGTAGTCAACCTGGACGAGAGGTCGATGGGATGATGGTGCATTGTTCTTGATAGGTGTTAGCGACATTCCTGACCCCATATCTGAATTACTTCAATTACCTTTCTGCTTAAAATGATGAAAGGATGTTTTTTGGTAAGCTGAAGTTGTTCGACGATAGCCTTACCCATGCCACCTGTACCACCAGCGACTGCTATCACACCCATGATCACGACTGAATGAGTTCAACTGATTGAAAAAATCGTATGTATAGTTCCTAACACTGTAAGATAATGATCAGGCCTGCTACGACGCGGTCAAGACTCCTGTCTTTATACGTCAACAGCCACTCGTTGCATGCACACCACACAACCGGATCAGCCGAATCAATTGCAAATAAGCCTCTCAAAATGCAGATACCAAGAGTGTGTGCTTGAAACATTGGCAATGAAATGACGATGTCGGTACTCTCGGCCGCCGTATCCCACACGTGCCGTCCGTTTCCGTGGCCGAACGTTCACACCACTACGGAGCGGAGCTCGTAGATGCCCGCTCCGGTACGCTTGCCGGCCGCCAAGAATGTCCGCAATGTTCATACAGTACGGCAAGACTTTCCTGGAGATTCTGTTACCCATAAACTTTGGTTGATGGTCATGTTCCCTTCTCAATGTTCCAGCATTTCCCAATTAGGTGAAAACCATATCCAAAACCTTAACTATCCCAAACTCCTCGCAATGCCAACATAGATACACCATCAATAATCACAAAGAATTCACAAAATTGAAACCGACAATCCCCTCTGCCACTGCGATGTCCATTTCGGCTTTGGGGAACACCGAGACCCGTCGTCCGATGATCCCATCGTCTCCAACTTGCAATGAAATGGGCTCACGGAGAGCAAGCTCTAAAGTCGAGCCGTCTTCGAGTACGGATGCATTGGAAAACGCCAGTTGGTGAAAGAGGCCACAATCTTCGGGTCTTTTGGATAGATCCCCGGACTTGCTGTTGCACGCATGATATGTTAGCTATATGCTCTCTTCAGTCTTCTTGCGTTTGGACGTTGCAACTTACTGAATGACGACAACAACGTCTGACAACGTGGGCAAGTCATGATCTCCTCCGCTGGTGATCCTTGCATGTGTAGCAAAGGGACTGCTCGGCTTCCCTGGTGTGTGAAACGAAATATCACCTCGGAGTCTGCAAAGTGAGGTTGGTGACCGTGGCTGGCAGAAAGGTTGGTTGAGGACGGCGAGCGCGCCACCTCGAGGTTTGGTGCAAGTATCCGGGCCGCACATAGTGAGATTTGGTTTGGCTGAAAAAAGACCTTCGGGACTTCACTTGCGAATTTCCTGATGCAATCCTGTGAAAGAAAGAAACAGAAAGAGTATTTCTCAAGAGGCTGGAACAGTCAGTATTTCAGCAACATCTAGACTGGCTCAAACTCCCTCAAGGTCCTCATCCCTTTCACAACCCCTGTCATCCCAAAACGAGCGCGAACGGGACCGGCCCGGGGCCTCTCCACACGTCAACTAACAATAGCGCAGCCAATCACAATCATTCATCTGCTCCAGAACAGGGAATCTGGATGAGCAAGTTAGAGCAATATTGATCAGGTAATGCCCGCGTGCATTGTGCACGATCGCCAAATGACCAGATATCATTCAGAACAGCTGAACTGTCAAGAAATCGCATCACAAGATGTATCGCGATTGATGTTTTGTTTCAAAAAAGCTGGCCAATGTCCCCACCATCTCCATGACTCCGATCCATGCACACCGTTGAGTGTTTGAGACCGGGTTTAAGTCCTATGGCAGCTCTCGGCCATCAAGGTGTCCGTCACATCATCGGGTTCGACGGAGAATATCCCCATCATTGCCGAGATGATGAAATGTGCTCAGTACCCCTCCTTGCCTCGGGGTGATTTCTTCTCTTCCTTCTCAGGTCCAGCAGCTTACCCCTCCATCTTCTGTTCTTCTCATCCTCAACTTCTGGCCACGAAATCACCTCACGCAGAACCTACTTAACTAAGAGACGTCGAAGTGACACGAAATTCACAATGGCCAGCTCACAGTACACGCTTCCCAAGCTCCCTTACGCTTACGATGTACGTATCACCCTTGCTTCGGCACTAGAAATTCCGGCTAACCCCTCCTGAAGGCGTTGGAACCTCACATCTCGGCCCAAATCATGGAGCTTCACCACAGCAAGCACCACCAGACATATGTCACAAACCTGAACAAGGCTATCGAAACATACAACGCCAACCCTCTCCAAAGCCGCATCGCCGTTTTGGCAGCACTCAACTTCCACGGTGGAGGCCACATCAACCACTCCCTCTTCTGGGAGAACCTCTCCCCCGCCTCCAGCCCGGATGCTTCTCCCGACTCCGCTCCCAGCCTGATCGCCGAGATCACCCGCATCTGGGGCAGCCTGGACAAGTTCAAGCAAGCATTCAACGCTGCGCTTTTGGGCATCACCGGCAGCGGCTGGGGCTGGCTGGTCAAGGACGACACGACAGGTCTCAGCATCATCACGACCAAGGACCAGGACCCCGTCACCAAGGGTGTGCCCATCTTCGGTGTCGACATGTGGGAGCACGCTTACTACCTGCAGGTTTGTGGATGCTTCTTTTTTTGATCGTGTCAAACGGAATCACTGACTGGGATGGATGTGTAGTACCTTAACGGCAAGGCGGCCTACGTCGACAACATCTGGAACGTCATCAACTGGAAGACTGCCGAGTCGAGATTTTCTGGCAGCCGCGATGATGCTTTCAAGGCCCTTAAGGCGGTCCTCTAAGTGGGGAGATTATTTCGGACATAGCGGAATGAATTGACGATGACATGTAAGGGCTTTGAAATGCGACTGGATCAATGGGCATGAGTGCTAGAACCGATCACCAACGGGTCGATCGGTTTGCAAGGCTTAGTTTTCCCCGTCAACATAGCTTGCTGGGCTAGTATCCCGGTCAGACCATGAAGACATGAATACAAGTGGCTGGGGATAAACAATCAAATTCAATTTCGAGAGACGGTATCGCAATGTGGTCCTGCAACACATCCAACGCTGTCGTGTAACCCGTATCCGGCAACCCTTGGCGAGGGTCCTTTCTCGCACGTAGTCCCTTGCTGTGTCTCGGCTGCCTGTTTGTAGCCTTTCACCCTCAATATGAGCAGCCCACATCGACAACAAGTTGAGCTGAGCTTCCCGTGACAGGGTACGTAGCCACATCCACCCTGCCAACGCCCACTGGCGCACAACACGTTGCGTTCGATCGCCCTCAACCATGAGGCGAGGCAATACCGTCGCATGGAAAACATAGGTCAAAGTTCGTCCGGTCAGACCTTCTGCGTCGAGGGACAGACCCGAGTCCCGTCCTAAATTCCGAGAGTCAAGCGAAGACAAACACCGACGGGTGTGAGACGGACCATCCGACTCGGAGGAGACAAGATGGAGCGCAAACCGGCAATTTTGGTCGACGAGAATATCTCCGTCAGGTTGATAGCACCAATCTATACCACCAGGCATTTCTGCCAGCTGTAATTGCATCTCCGCATAGTCGGTGTGCATCTCGCCGCAGACTGTCAATCTTGCGGGATCTCCCACCAGCCTACAGTCAGTAGCCAAAAGTCTGAGCCCACCCACCCCACATATGTGGATCTCGCGACGCGCCCTAACCCACCCCTCCTTCTACCACCTACACTATAACCATAAATATCCCTCTAGATGAGGCGATTTAGCACTTAAATTAGCAGTAATTAATAAGGTAATTATAAACTATCGCTAGAGCTACGCATAGCGATATACTTAGCAGTAGCATATAGCTAAAGTTAGCATACTATTACTAAGTACTTCTACGTTTTACGTAGGGTAGTATATTAAGCTATTATACGCCTTACTAAATAACACACCTTTAAGAGCTTACTTTATATAGGTAGGGCTTACCTACTAATAAAGTAGGAGATTTAATATATATATTATATAGCTTAAAAAAACCCTAAAATAACTACTAAGGCCCTCACTAGTATAATTAATAAGAAGGTATTAGTTACTACTATATATTAGACTTTTTATACTTATAACTACTATAAATAGAGGGCTATAAAATAGATCTTTTTTACACCTAAGGTATAACTTAAGTAACTATATAAAGTATATTTTTAGTAGGATAAGGATAATAAATTAATTAAGGTATAGTATTTAGTATATTATATATTCTTAGCTAATTTTTAGGCTATATATACTAATAAGTATTTACTATAATCTACCCCCTCCTATAAAACTATATAGGTTTAGCACTACCCTTCTAAGAAGTAGGATAAAGCTTTTATTAATCTAAACTATTATAGTAAACTAAGAGTTACTATAATATACTAAGGGGCTATTTAGAAGATAAGGAGGTTATAACTTATCTTTATATAGAGGGATTTAACTTCTAAGAGGAATAAGTTTATAGTATAAAGTTATATATAAGCTCTAGAGGAAGGTTTAGTTCTAGTCTATAATAATATAAGGTATTTTTAATAAGATAATATATCTATCTATATAGTAAGGGCCTTAATAGATTAGCTATATACCTAAGATATTAATATTATTACTTAACCTACCTATTCACTTAATCTTAACTTTATTAAGTATATCTAGATATATCTAAAGTAGTAGGTATATAGAATATTCCCTTATATTACTTACTTAGGTAGTAATATAATAGATATTAAAGAGTTAAAGTAATACCTATATATAGCGTAGTAAGCTATACTATAGGGGTTTATTTAGTGCCTATATAAGTTATTACTATACTACTAGAAAGCTATTTAGAAGGCTAGGGGCTTATATATATAATATTAAACATTAGATTTTAGGCTTTTAATTAATATAACCTATTTTACTATATAACGTTGTTTAATAAATTTATCGAAGTTAGGGGGTTAGGTGTTAGTAGCTAGGAGAGTCCTAGTGGGGCGGGTGGGCTCAGACTTTTGGATAAGAACTGTAGCTGCATCACGCATCGTTCCAGGCTGAGGTGAGGCAACACGAGCCATTCTCCCCTTAATAAGCACAATAAAGCAGGATGAATCATTCCGCAACCGCGTCAGGTGCATTGACCATAATGCCACTGGGAAGCCGACGATGTTTGGCAGCGATAGTGTGCCGGCAGCATGCAGCTGGACCCATGCAGGTACACACGCTCTGCAGGGTATGCTTTTCGTGTTGTACGGTACTTGCCCTGCGGCAAAGCGCAAAGCCTGTCGCTTTTCAAATGCTGCAAGATTCTGGGTACTGCAGCTGTTGTATCTACGATGGTGAACCCAATCCTCTGGGATGGTGTCGGGGACACGGGGACGTGATGCGATGGTTGATGGGTGCGCGCTGTTGGTCTATGTTTTGAGGGCGGATTGTGAAAATATCCTTCGTGACCAAAGCTCTTCTAATTTGCGACGAATTTGGTATCCCTGACCGCAGAAATGTGTGCGCAGTCGGTTCATGTTGCCTGAGATTGCGTGGGACGGAGACTTGCAGCCGCTGCCGAACCCGCGGCCTCTCCGGCCCTCCTCTCCCGTGTGTTCAGTGTCCAACTTCTTTGAGACAACTGCAAAATGGTTTCTGCAATGGTGAGGACAGGGTTGATTGGCGATGAGGATCTGTCTGTCATTGAACAAGGCGTATAAGGTTAAAAGCGAGAAAAGCATGCATACGACTGTCAATCTGCCCGATGATCCTGACAGCGACAAACAAACTTGGCCGACTCGACTGTCAGTGTCAAATCGGAAGCTTGCTCCGACCCATGCAGGTTCCCACGTTGTGGCTTGATGTAGGCGGATTGCCATGAACCCGCCAAACGGCAGCGGGTTTGCGTCCGGCGTTCGCCTCCCCGCAAATATTCTTAGAAACCAAACGGTTTTCTAATGAAGGGGGAGGTTCTGGCTGGGATCAGATAGATGGCTGCAGCAGGCTCAAAGTCTTGCTGCTTAACGTGATTGGCCGACTGTTCTTCCCTAACGATGTCGAGGCAATGAGGACAAACCGGTTTACCTTGACATGCAGTACCGAGACACTCAAAGCGAGTGATGTGGCGCTGGCGCTCGACGGCCAGCTGCATGGGAAGCCCTTATCGAAGCCCGTTCTAGATTGGGGGCTGGCTTGCGTGATGAGGGTGTCTGCCGAGCATCCCGTTTCCCGCCCGTGTTGGAACGGGTGCGGGCTCTGAGTTGGCTGCGGTGTTATTCTGGCCGGCATAGAAGGTTGGACAATCATTTCATGATATAAAGGAGTGTAGCCGGCGAGAAAAGGCGGTCTTGTTCTGTTTAGTCTCCAACCAGCACGAACCGTCGCAGCACCACACTCGTTTCTTACTCCCACTTCTCTTGCTCGCCATGGTCTTTTCTGCCTCTGGTCTCGCCCTCTTGGGTCTTGGGTAAGTTGTTGTTCTCAGTCATCTTTGTCCACGCTGACTTGGCAGTGCCTCTCTGGTGAGCGCCATCCCGCAGGCCAACCACATCATTGCTCGCCCTCCGGCGACATTGACCGTGACTTCTCTCATCGAGATCACCAATGAGGTCACCGTCACTGCCTGCGGTTCCGACTGCGCCACTGCGGTCACCGTCACCGTGACTGAGACCCAGCCGTGTTTCTACACCTGTTCGGCATCGGCCTCCAGCTCCGTTCCCGGCTCCTGGACTTCGACTCCGTCTCTGCCTACGATCAGCATCCCGCCGAAGCCTTCTACTCCCACGAGCTACGCCAACTCTACCACCGGTATCCCGACCTCATCCACCCCGCTGGGTACCGGCTCCTCAACCAGTCCTACCTCTGTCTCTCCTCCGGACACATCTTCTGATGGCACCACGGTCTCAACTCAGCTACCTAGTCTGACCACTTCTCCTCACTGGCCTGCCAACACCACGTAAGTCGTCTTCTGTGTATCTCACTTAGACTCTCCACTAATGTTATTCCAGGACCCGTACCCGGACAAAGACAATCAAGACCAGGACCTTGACCCTGTCCACGGGCATCTCCCTCACCACCGGTACAGGCACCGGTTCCAGCAGCGTGCCGTACCCCAGCTCCAGCCTCTGGAGCAACACCACTCGCCCTATCCCTAGCACCACCCTGGGATCCTTGACTACCACTAAGGCCACACTTCCGACCATTCCCATCCCCACCCCGTCGGATGTTGATACCACCTCTGCTCCATGCACCACCTACGGTTGCCCCTCGTACACCACTGCTACCTACACCACGGTCATCAACACCACTGTATCCGACCAACTCCCGGAGACTGGCACAGCATCCCGGTCAAAGACGACCCTGAGATCCACCATCATCGTGACAGTGACCAAGTCTGTGCCATCCAGCACCGGCACCGCCTACAGCTCGACCAGCCCCGGCACTGGCGTCTCCACCGGCTTCCCCTCGCACACCATTCCCACTAGCTCTATTAAGCTGTCTTCTACCCTCAGCTACCCCACGACCACCTCCTCTCCTTGGACTAACACAACTACAACATCTCCCGGCACCAGCACCGAGACGATCTCCGACGATGTGACCACCGCCACTGAGTCGCCTTCTTCCACTAAGAAGCCCTGCACCACGCACAAGACCGAGTCCAGCACCGAGTCCAGCACCTACCCCGCCTCGACTCCTGGAACCACCGTCTCGGACGCTAAGCCATCCGCAGTGACTACTTCTAGCTCCATCTCCGGTGGTTACGACACTTACCCGACTTCTTCTCCCGGAACCACCGTGTCTGACGCCATGCCGTCGGCCGTCAGCCCTTCGGAGTCTCCATCCAGTTCCATCCCGGGAGGCTATGACTCTTACCCAACCTCCACTCCTGGCACCACCGTCTCGGACGCGAAGCCCTCCCTCGTCACCCCCTCATCCTCTATCGATGGAGGCTACGATACCTACCCAACTTCTTCCCCCGGTACCACTGTCTCAGACGCCAAGCCGTCCCTGGTCACTCCCACCACTATGGAGACCCGGACATCTGATGAACCTACGGCCAGCTCGTCTACCTCGATCTACGGGGGCTATGACTTTGGCCACAAGCGCCGCGTGATTCGTCACTGACTTGGCCGGGGTGATGGATAGTGAGACTGCGATTGAAGAAGGCTCAGGTTGGGCATGTAGAACGCCAAGATTAGTTATGGCGTGCGTTGTTGCTACGAGGGCTTGGGGCTGAAGTACAAAGCTGGTGTTTCTTTTTCTCTTCTTGACCTTCGTTTACATCTTTCTCATAGGTGATTTGATGATAGAGTTTGGTTTAGTTTCAATGAACAGGTGTTTGTCGTGGTGATAAGACGTTTTGTGCAGTTCCCCGAGTGAATGAACCGACACGCTCGTATGGAACCATACCACCGCCATCATGATACTGCTTAAGGTGTTGTTGTGCGCCAAATAGGTGCATATGCCATCTTGAAATGAGTATAGATCAGTCGTCCAGAGACCGAGCTAAGGCCACAATGTTATCCGTACGAAACTCCCCTTGCCCAGTGGCATAGCCACCAGCACCGGCGGCGTCATCTACAGCTTTGGCTCCAGCCAGCCGTTCATCCTTCTCACCCCTTCCAATCAACTCCAAGATACACCCTGTTTCATCTTCCTTCAAGAAAAACTGCCGCAGCCCCGTAGCCAGGTCCGTACTGGGCGCGTCTGCCGTCGTCTGCCAACCCTGTTCCCTGACCTCTGCGAAAACAGCATCGACGTCTTCTATCTCCAAAGCGATATGATGAATGTAAGGACCACAATGCTTGTTCATGAGCTTCGTGAATATAGCATCCTGATTCAGTCCCTCGGTCAGAATCAAGACCCGTTTGGTATCAAACGGCAATCCCATTACATGCATCAAGCCATCGTCTTCCCCGTCGATACCGGAACCGGCGTTGACCGTGAAAGTGCGCAAATGCGTGAAACCCATCATATGTTCGTGAAAGCTCTTCATCTTGGTCGCGTCTGGCATGATGGCAGCATAATGATCTAGCTGGTAGGCTAACCCAGCGACGGACTTCAGCGCTTCGGTAGAGTTGGAGAAGGCACTGTTGGAGGACTCCCGAGCAGGGGCCTGTGAAAGACTGATTGGATATCCCGTCTCTTCGCGTTTGAGAACAAGCTCATTGGAGCCATCCTCGAGCTTGACTTCGTGGAAGGCAGCCCCGTCAGCCTCCAGAATTGCACGAGCCCTCGCCAAGTTGTAAACGGAAAACCGCATTGAAAGGCCAATGTCATCAGGGCCAGTCCCTGCGGTCGCCCTGATGATACTCAATGTAGGGTCGTCAGCCCCTGGAAGCTGATAAAGCGTCTTGTCCTCATTGAACCTGGCGTTGTATACGCGCTCGATAGTCTCACCAGCTCGAGCAACATTTGGCGTAGCCAGTGTCAAATGTGACATTCTCTTGACTCCGAGGCGGTTGACCGCCCCAGCTGCTCTTCGCGCCACAACCAAATCGTGACAAGCATCCCACAAGGCAACATTGGTTCCCGAGAACCCGATCTTGGCAAATACTGCATTGATGAAAGACTTGGTGTCGTTGGCACACGCTTCAAGGTTGGAAGCACTGTAGCCTCTCAAGGCGAGACCACTGCAAGCTCTCATGAACAAATTGGAAGTTCCGGAATTGCTGATCCACTCAGGGAGCATTCGAATAGAACCAGAGTCTAAACCCAAAAGAGCCTTCTCTCTGCTCTCAATGGGGCTGAAGACGTTGTTGGCTCCAGCGACGATGAACCGAGACGAGACGGAGATTTTAGCGAACGTATGATTAATCAAGGCAGAAATCGTCTTTGGTGTGAGGACGTAGCGGCCAGCACAGGGTACAAAAGCCTCGCCCTCGGCCGCGGTAAGGAAATTGGCGAGATGCTCTTCATCAGATGAGTCCGCCTTACGTGGCATGTATCGAGCGGATGAGAGCTGAACCTGGGAGAGGCCGGCTTCGAGACTTCTGGGATCCAAGCCTGGGGTGGAATGGTTTCCAGCCCCGCTGCGGCGGGCGTGTTCAATGGCGACGCAGTCTATGCCGTCGTTGTCGATGTAAAACCCATACTGGCTAGAGATTGCCACAACACGTCCGATGCCCAACTGCTCCGCTGCTAGGGCGAAGGTGGCACCGACACATCCGAACCCCTGAAGCACTAGACGAGCTCGTCCCATTAAACTCGGTTCTGCGCGAGAAAGAAGCTCTTTCAGGGTGACAGCCATGACATAGCCAACGCAATACTCGCTGAGAGACCATCCGTTATTGTCGATGCTCTCTTCAAGCAGAACTGGTATATCTGCGAAACTTTGCCCTGTATAGCCCAGGGCGCGGTACAACGCGTCCAGAGCCGTTGAAGTCCCAGGAGTGCAATAGGCTCTGGCATGCTTGTCTATGACCGCGTGGTCCGTGTTGAGATCGCCTCCAGTGCCCCAGTAGACCGAGAGGACGCCGGCATTGTCATGAATAAAGCGTTCCAGAACCAGAGGGGCTTGTGGGTCACCGGATGGGAACCGAATGCCTCCTTTAGCACCCACAACCTGGGGCTGTGAGGAAACAGCAAGCTTCGAGCTCATAGAGCGAGCTACATCGCGAACTTCTTCGAAGGTTGCGTTTGCGTGAAGAAATAAGCCACCACCGGCGGCCGTAGGCACAGGCGAGTCAATGACAATCCAGCCTTCGGCAGCGGACTCCTTGTCTCGCCAATGCCAGACGCAGCAGCCATCGATAATGTCGTAGGCGGGGACATGCGACTTCATCTTGATAGGAGCGCTGATATGCTCAGAGGCAATCTCAGTGCCAACTGAAGTGTATTGAGCACTGGGAGACATGTTGGGATGGTTTAAGAAATTTTGAATGGTGGAAAGCGTTTTGTTGAGGAAGATGTGTTGTTTCTAGTTGTGGTCTTGTGATTGATGATTGTGTGGAATGATCACAAATCCATCAGATGGAAGCAACATAGATATACCTCAACGAACAGAGAATCAAACAGTAAACCTCGTAATTTTGTCTCGGTTTGCCTAATATGGCATCTCCGGTCCTTTCGTGAAGTTTTCGAGCAAAGTCTGTTGTTGCTTTGCAGTGTCATGGGCAGAAAATGCCCACTTGGCTTGTGGAATACCGGAGCAAGAGGCACGGTAAATGACATGTCGAAATGATTTCACAACATGCAAAGGATGAAGTTTACTGGCGTGAAAGAAGGTCTTCCGACAGAAGAGTCCGAAGTCCGCAAGAGGTCAGATCCTGGAAGCATCGCAGCCTGCATGAGGTTCCCCGTCGTGAATAGTGGACTTTGAATGCCTCAAAATACAACACGGTGTTTGCCGACGGCATTGCGATGTATTGCTTGGAACTAAAAGGAAGTGGAAAGTGCCTCTGTAGGCATTGTACAAGTCGAACATCGCAGCCCAGTATAAAGTGGGATGCCGTGGCCATCACATTGCCAATGCCCGAATTGTTGTCTCGTTCCAAGTCAATCAAACACCTTCCGACCATCCTTCACGATTTTAGCCTGCTCTCAAACACCAGGACCTTCGTTTTAAACTTTCAAAATCACGTTATCTTCGCAGCAAGCCTCTAACTACCTTCAATCAACATGGGTTCGATCATCAACTTGGGACCTACCACCACGTCCTCTGAGCAGGATATCACCAAGATTTTCAATTCTTACATCGCCGCTAGTGCCATTGGTGCCGCCTGGGAGGTGGGGCTTCTAGACGAAATTCGCAAGGGAAAACCTGTGAACGTCGACAAGTTCGCAGCCCAGTACAACCTAGACGTTCAGGCGACCCATGGCCTCGTCCTCGCACTGTCCGCAGCTGAAATCCTCAAACGCGAGGGAGTTCTCATCAGCCCAGGACGACTTCTTGAGGATGCATACCGTACCAAGAGCCTTTTCCACTGGCTTGCTCTGGGATCTGGTAGTGTCTTCTCGCGCATGCAGTACATCTTGCGCAACGAGAACCGCTCGGGAAGATACTACGCCCGGGACTCCGCCGCTATTGCATACGCATGCCGTGATGCAAATGCGCAATTCATTGACTCTGTCTTCCTTGATGCTCTCAAGAAGGTTAATCATGATTTCAAATCCGCTGTGGACCTGGGCAGCGGAAGCGGTGAAAGGCTGATGCAAGTCCTGGACTGTTACCCCGGGAGCACTGCCATCGGCATTGACATTGCTGGCCCAGCGATTGAGGTAGCCAAGGTGGGCGCTGTCAAGCGCGGCTATGGGGATCGCATCACCTTCCTCGAGGGCGATGCTCGTCGGGTCGAATACCGCGAAGAGTTTTCCGAAGTCGACTTGCTGACCTCCTTTTTGATGGGGCACGACTTTTGGCCTAGAGAGAACTGCATCAGCTCTTTGCAAAGACTCCGCCGGTCTTTTCCCAACGTCATGCGCTTCTTCCTTTGCGACACTGTGCGCATCTCGATCGGAGACCCCGAATCCCGGCATGCCGTGGCTGATGATGCTCTGCCAATTTTCACGTTGGGATTTGAGTTTGGGCACGCGCTCATGGGAGTGAGGCTGCCCACAGTGGAGGATTGGGAAGGGGTTTTCCAGGACGGTGGTTGGCGATGCATCAAGCAGCATCACATGTGCCCTCCTTCGCTTACTGTCTTGTTCGAGCTGGTGCCCCTGGAAGCGAAGGCGTAAGCGGAGTCAACATCATGAGTGGCCCCAATTTTGCATCCTAAGAATAGGCAGCCAATTGAAGATAGATCCGATACGTAACTGGCATATTCATTTCATACTCGGGGAAATATCTCGTGATTTAAAGTTCGGAATATTTGCTTAGTTGGACTCGTGGGCAGAAACATGATTTTGAACATCTTCCGGTTCTCACGTCGGCAAGGAAGGGTTGCTTTGACAGTCGGTATTCCACTGAATGCTGTCGCCCAGCGGCCTCTGCTAGCCATAGTCAAGTCGGCTGTTGACATTATAAAGTTGAAAAGGGGTATGGCTAGGCAGGAGGCAGAAAATCTTACCATCCACTCCAAGCCCCTGAGCCACGGCCGAAGAAGAGCTCACAGATGGTCTACCGCCTACCGCAAGAAGCATTTGGGGACAGTTCTTCTATCATGATTTGATGGTGTATGGCGGAATATCTTGAAGGAAAGCGTATTGAAGTAAGCATAACTTGTCTCGATACATTTAGAACAAATGTTCGAGCACGTCATGCTAAAGAAACGGCGAAACTATTTTCTTCAGCATTCATGGTGACAGGACTAGGCTCGACTCAGAATATTGCTCCATGGCTGACACGACCATGTTTTGTCCATGCTGACATGTCACTCGCGTGGCAACATCCTTCGGCTGTTTCTGCCCCTCTGCCAACCTGGTCTCACTTGGCCCACAGTCAACTCTCACGACTTACGAAGTCACTCTGTGCCCCTCATGAACAAGAACACGCTCTACGAAATGGAAGACAAGATTTTTGATTCGGCATGGAGGCCGAAAGAGGCAGTACCGAGGAGGTGTGAAACTTGCTCAAGGATCAACTGTGATGTATCAATTCTTAGTGTCCGGCAAATCCCTAGAGCTCCGTAGGACCCTAGAACCGGCACAACGACGGAGTTTTTGCTGGACCGTCTATGACCGATGGAAGTTCACTGACTCGAGCAACGCTTCATGGATCACTATCCGACAGTCCCATTCTTCCATGTCGGCAAATCACCTGCTCTAGCTTCAGCTGGCTTTTTCGCGGGCCGTTCCGTCGTGAACCGTTGCAGACGCGCGGCCGGCAAGTGCCCTTAGTGACCCACATGAGACAGTAACGTTTTCGCCAATGGATCGGAGCCCAACCCATCCGGAGTACTGGACTCGGTAGGAAGCTCCGTTAACCTTCAGCGGCGCGTCGCCGTGGAAAGCACGGAAGTTTGCGTATATGGAGTGAACTTCCTCGCATTAGTGGGAGATCATTGCATTTGAAGAACACAAATGCGCGCTGGGCCAGCGTCCCCGATTGATCAAACTTGGGATGTCATTAGTTCGTTGAGTTGGAGCCACATCTCACGATATTAAGCGATATGGATCTGTGCTGTCATCAAACACATAGAAGCAATCACCCCACTTTGCACGGTGGTTTATTTTCGCTTCAGCGGCATCGGCGGGTCCAAGGCTATTCATTCGCTTCAATTAATGGCCCAGACCAGACTTTCCATGGGCTGAAGCGAAGATGCTTTTCTGAAAGATCACATTGCGGACGGTCTGAGTTGTAATAACCTTGTAGTATGTTTAAGCAGTAGGTCCGGTTCCTTGGCGATATGCAAAGCCACGGAAGTCGTGGAAAGCTGAAATTGCGGGAAATAGTATAGACGGAGTTTCCGTGTTCATCTTTCATTGCGCACAGAATATTGAACACAATCGCGCTCCTGGGTGTTGACGTAAACTGTCGCTGTCTTCGTACTTGATCGATTCACATTACTATAAAGATCATCGGAGAAAGGGCATGTTCAGGGACCTAATTGCAAGGTTGGGCACGAACCACCATCTCCGACATCATGATTTTCTCCTCCCGTTATCAAATCGACATCCCCGCAGTGGATATCCTTACTTATGTGTTTGGTGAGATTCACATGACCACTCTACAAAATTTGCCCTGACGTAGTTGACCGAGAACGCAGGGACCCCAGCGTTGCGGAGTGATCCACCTCTTTTTGTCGACGCAGAGAAGCCTTCAAGAGCACTTCGCAAGGGTGAACTAGAGACCTGCGTAAAACGGCTTGCAGGCGGCCTTCGCCAGACCCTCGACTTACAGGATGATGATGTTGTCGTTGCGTTCGCTAAGAATTGTGTAAGTACGAGGCCCCGAAATGGCCATCTGCTTGGTACTCTAACGTCTCATCGTTCTAGATTTGGTACCCTGTAGTTTTTCTTGGTGCGATTTGCGCCGGTGGGATCTTCTCCGGCGCGAATTTGCAACATACCTCGACAGGTAAGGGCTTTGTTTCTCATTGTTTTCATGTCGCTAAAATACCTCTAGAACTTATTGAGCAACTCAGTCTATGCAGAGCGAAGTGTGTTTTCACTGACACTGAGCGACTCGACAAGGTCATTGAGGCTGCAGACGCTATTGGCTTGCCGAGGTCTTCGGTCATACTCCTTGACGGGGAAGGTCAGGCTGCGACCGTTGGGTTCCGACACATACGTGACCTCTTCGGCGAACCGCTCGCATGGCAGGTTGAGAATGACACAGGAGTGTTGAGAGAGAAGTACTAACGCTATCTTCCTTGACTAAAGATGACAAGAGTTGATAGATCGACAAGGATTGCTGCCCTAAATTTCAGCAGTGGAACCACGGGAAAGATCAAAGCATGCATGATCACACACTACAACTTTGTGGCAAACGGCGAGCAAACACTTCACCTTGATCGTATGAGTCAGGCCCGAGCGAAGGAGTCGGATCAAAAGATACACGATGTTCATTGCATATTTTCCGCGTTCTCCCATGCCAGTAAGTCAGGAAACTCAGACCAAAGCAAGCGTTGTAATTGATGAGATCGCTAGGTGGTCTACTCACGTGCTGCGTGGCCAACGTTCGACGATCATGCACGACTGTTGTCCTACCCGAGTTTCGTTTAGAAACATTTCTCGGTGCTATTCAAGAGTTTCGTGTCACGCACCTGCTGTTAGCCCCACCAGTGGTTGTTCCGTTGTTGAAAAGCGATCTTTTATCGCGGTATGACGTCTCGAGTGTGACGTCTCTCGTCTGCGGAGCAGCACCCCTGCAGCCCGATGTCTCCAAGAGGCTCGAGAATGTCTTCAACCCCAACAAGGCCCACAGTCGGCAAGGATGGGGAATGACCGAGGCCACGATGGCTGTTACCCTCTTCGCCCCTCATGAGTTTGATCCTTCTCACAAAGGTGTCGGGTACCTTCTTCCCAACATGCGATTGAAGGTCGTCAGCCATGATGGCCGCGAGGTCGGCTACGAGGAAGAGGGAGAGGCCTTCATCCAGGGCCCGAACATATTCAAAGGCTACTACAAGGACCCAGACGCAACACGAGAGAATCTGACAGAAGACGGCTGGCTGAAAACGGGAGACGTTGTAAAGTTGCAGAGGAACGGCCTTTTGACCATTGTTGACCGAAAGAAAGTAGGCCTTCCTTCCCATCCCGGTCGGGGCAGCGATTGGATTTACTGACAACTCCCAGGAATTCATCAAAGTTGGCGGAGTGCAGGTGGCCCCCGCCGAACTTGAAGGGTATCTCCTTGAGCATGAGCTTGTTAAAGATTGTGCTGTGATACGCGTGATGCGGTAAGTCTGATCTCTTCAAACTTTTCACGTCGCCTTGACTGCAGAGGGCTTTTGCTGACGTGTACTCTGTAACCTAGAGACGGACAGGAATGTCCACAGGCTCACATCGTCCCCGCGAACGAGAACCTCGACGTGGAATCCATCGTTGATTTCATGGAACATCGACTCGCGGCATACAAAAGACTCACGGGAGGGATTGTGTTCACAAAGGCCATCCCGAAGTCAGGTTCGGGCAAGATTCTACGTCGATTGATCCAAGACCCCGAGGCAGCTGCTTAGCCATGTGACGGTTGAAGCTCAGAGGAAGGCCGTTGACGATGAAGACGCAACTGAAGAGCAGTGAGGCCATCGTTTATTTTCCAATTGGGTCGACAACACTGTGACCCAGATCCTTGAATGGATAATTCCTCAACATCTAGCTTTCTCTGAACAACTCATTACAATTTTGGGAACCTTAGTGGAAATACTTCGGGACGACGGCCTTGTAAGCGATCCAAGCTTCCTCCATTGCCTTCACTACATCCTCTGGCAGCGGTCCTTTCTCCAAGTTGTCGAGATTTTCCTCCAGCTGGTTCAGGTTGCTTGCACCAATAATGATCTTGTCTCCCTTTTCTTTGTCCAAGACGCTGTGGTGCGACAGCCATCTGAATGCACATTCAGCCACAGAGAGGCCCTGTTTCGTTGCAGCCGATTGAATGATTTCCAAAGCATCGAAGGCAATATCACTGCCGTATCTGCTTCGATACATCGCACTCAGAGCATGTTTTGAGTCGAAACGAGAGCCTTCCTGAAAGTCGTTGCGACGTTGCCTGGACGTGAGGAACCCCGCAGCCAACGGCTGGAACTCGTAAAGGGCTATGTTGTAGTGGCGAAGGCAAGGGAGCAATTCCAACTCAACCCCGCGATGGAGTGCGTTGTAAGCACCCTGGTATACGGTCGGCTTGATCCAACTGTTTCTGTCGCACAGCTCCCAGATCTTCGCCACCTCCCACGACATGAAGTTGCTGATACCGAAACGGTTGAAGTGTCCCTCTTTGTGCAGTTTATTGACCTCGCTCAGTGTTTCCTCGAGTGGCGTTTCGCGATCTGGACCATGGAGATACCAGAGATCTATCTTGGTGGTGTTGAGCGACTTGAGGCTGTCCAGTAGTCCGCGACGGACGTCTCCAGCGCGCAGCGTGTAGGAAAGTGGCCCAGTGGCCCCAGAGGTCTTGCTGTTCGGATAAAGCTTGGTTCCCATCACGACACCGCGCTCTTCCCATTTGGCGTCAGCCAGATAGGTCTCGGTCGTCCCTCCGCCGTACAGTCGAGCTGTGTCGATTTCGTTGTGGCCGCGGGATTGGAAAAGATCTAACATATTATTAACATCTTCGACGGTGGTGACCTTGAGACCGCCAATAGTAGGTGAACCAATCGTCATCGCCCCGAAAACGACAGGAATCGCTGTTCGAAATTTTGAAGCCATTGTGTTTTCAATGATCACAAAAGAATGTGTTGCCAGACCAAGTCGACTTAGTGATGTCTACGTAGAAAACGCGGAAGTCATAGATAAATATGTCCTTTTCCATAATTCCAAGTTTCAATACTGGCCATTGTGACGTAACGATGCTAATAGCTCCGCTGCAGCACTTTTGTCAGCTGCGTGCAGTGTTCAAGCGGAAGTAAAAAGGAGATAACGTATCTCCGCCATGCAAATCACAAATACATATGATACGATATCCTGGTCCAGGCTCCTTTTAGCATGGGCCGGCAAAGACCTTTACCACCGGCCAATCGCTCATATTCTTCTGATGAGGATTGGGGAAGCTGAAGGGAACTAAATAGTATTTCTATACTTGGCCTATAGATTGTATGAGCATAAAGTGTTCGGTTCTTTTCATCCATGCTGCCGACCCCCGCAGCATGTCGTATCACATTTACGTGGCTCGCGGTGTCTCTTGGGCTTGTCAGGTGCTTTCAAAATATGGATCACAGGGTCGCGATAGATATTTCTAGCCGTCTTTTGTGAAATGATAACTAGATATGAAGTTCAAAGACGGATTTTAACGCGTCTTGATTAAAAAAAAGCAAATCTGTCGGCAACGCCAACCTATCGCAGCGTTAATCGAGCTAGGCGTGCCTTACGTAATCAGCAATTACATAAGGCGCTAACCTCTATAATTAACGCTATAATTATAGCTACTACCTCTAACGTAGTTAACCTCATATATATTACTACTAATATAGTTAATATAATATAATATTTACTACCTATAGTAACCTTTACTAGCTAGCTAGTCCTATAAGACTAATACTAATTAATAATTAACTTTATAGTTACTACTATATAATATATTAATTAATTATAGATTAGTAAAGCTCTAGAAGAAGTAGTCTTATTAATATTTATTTAGATCTATTCTACTTAGAAACGCTTAATTAATTAACTTATATTAATAAAGTAGTTATAAACTTTAAAAAAGATAGCTTATATTACTTAAGCTACCTTAAACTTACCCTCCTCTAATCTTTAAGAAGAGTATATTAACACTAATATTACTAGTATTAATAGGATTAAGTAATATCTCCCTATAATATTAATAATAGTAGGATTATAATAATAGCTTTTATAGTTTCTAATCTTATACTTAATAGAAGTAGTTATAATATAACCTAAAAAATAGTTTATTTTATTTAGAATACTCTTAGTAATTACTCTTATTTCCTACTTAAAGAGTATCTATTATATATCTAACCCTTAATATTAATATCTATTTATTAACTTATAATTAATAGTAAGGTTAACTTTATACCTTACTAACTACCTTTTTTAACCTCTTACTCTTTATAAGTAGAGTTTTTATATTATATAAATAAATAAGAGATTATCCTACTTTTAATAGCTTTTAACTACTTTCTTTTTTACTAAGTTAATATTAATAGTAAATAGCTACTTTAAGCCTATTTAATAATAACTACCTATATATAGTATATAGTATACTCTACTATAAGAATTTTCCTACTACTTAACTACTAAATACTAACTACTAACTACTAACTAAGAAGAAAATTTTTTACTATCTTTTAACTTTATTAACTTATACTCCTTCTATAATACTATTATACTACCTTTATATCCTTAAGAGTTTACTACTTTATTAATAATATTACTTATTAAACTCTACCTACTTTCTTTAACTACTTTCTATAATACTCTTTTTTTACTTTAGTAAAGGTTTTTTTTAGCCTCTATACCTCTATTTTTAACTACTATTAAACTATATTAAGTTAAATAAGTAATAGAGTAATAAATTATCTACTAGATAAATAAGTTCTAGTTATTTTAGTTCTTAATTAAGTTCTTTATAACTATAGTATAGTAAACTTTACTTATTACTTAACTTAATACTTCGCTCTATTAATAATTCCCTTTAATAATAGCTAACTTCTCTAACTTAAGATTATTACCCCTTCTACTCCCTTTACCTCCTCTTAGTTCTTTAGTTAATAACTACTTTATCCCTATCTTTATTTAGGTCTATAGTATAGTTAACTATAGTATTTAGGGAAAACTTAGTAATATTAACTTAGAGTTAAATACTACTACTTAATAGTAATTTACCTTATACTTTCTATTTAATATAGAGTATTACTAATTTAATAGCTTTACTAGCTCTACTTTTTAAAGTTAGGTATATACTAATTTTAAAGAGGTACTAGAGTCTACCTTTACTTATTATAACCTTATTACTATAAAGGACTTTAAAGACTTCTTTATTACTAATAAAGTTTATATTACTATAAATAATACCTCTATTACCTCTAATATCTATATTACTCTTTACTAAGACTTCTATAAGTAGACTATAGAGGAGATTAATAATAAGGCTTCTAAAATTACTACTTTTAAAAAAGCTATTAGAAATACTAACTTCTTTAATAATATTTAAGGTATTAAACTTAAACCTCTCTTAGTACCTTTAGTTAACTTTATTTATACCTCTATTAGTATAGCGCTATCTTTTAGCCCTACTTAAGATAGATTAATTCCTTTTAGAACCTATTAATTAACTACCTTTATCCCTCTAAATAACTTTAATATTAATATTACTAACTATAACTTAGTTAACTTAGCTATACTTAACTAACTATCCCCTTATTAACTTATAGATCTTATAAAGTTATACTATAATAGTATATATTTTAGAGGTAATATATATAATATCCTTAACTCTAAGCTTCTTATCTTTAAGAATTACTATATTAAAGTAGGTATTAACTAGTTTTAAACCTTAGGCGCCTTCTCTATTATACTTAAGAGTAAGGTATTTAACTACTACTATAATAAGCTTTATAATAATAATACGCCTATTAACCTCACTAGCTTAATTACTAAAGTTAAAACCTACTTTAAGACTAAAAAGTCCTATTAAGTATATCTCTCTAAGTAGTATAGTACTACTCTTAACTATATAATCTTAGAGACCTTAGTAAGACTAAAATAGAGTACCTTAAGATAGTATTTAATAAGCTTATTACTATCTAATATACCCTCTCTACTATCTACTACTCTAATAATACCCTTTATAATTAGGTTCTTAGTATTTATTAAAGTATACTTAAGTATAACTACGCTCTTATAAGCCTTACTAAGGACTATAAAAGTGTTACTAACTAGCTTTAATTATCTATTAATATTATAATATAAAGCTAGGCTTATAAGTACTTTATAATAAATCTAGCTCTTATTAATAACTAGTACTAAACTAATTATTAATATAATAGCTATAGCTATAGCTCTTAATTTAACTATTACTTATATATACTTTATAGTTAATATTACTTTTAACTTATACTTCTTAAATCTAAAAAGAAGTGCTATATTTATAGTAAGATAGGCTACTAGTTAATAAAGTACCCTACTAAAGATTACTATAAAGCTTTTAACTACTTTAAGTAAATATATATTAATAAAGATACTTCTACCCCTACCTTTAATTACTTTTTAGTATAGTATAAGGGTATTAAAGGTATTAATAACCTTTTTATCAATAGCTATAATAAGGATATATTAAACTACTTTAGTACTCTTAACGTTAATAACTTTAATACTAAAGATAGCTAGTATAAGTTAGATAGCTTAGATAATAAAAATTAATAATTTCTCACCTCTTACTTTATTAGTATTACTTTTAATAGCTTTAAAGTTACTAATATATTAAGTAATAATACTACCTTCTATACTATTACTAAGTAGGATCTATATACTATAGTTAAATTTAAAGAATATACCTTATAGTTCTCTCTTAAGGGAAAGTATAGATTAATAATCTTTTAAGGTATCCTACTTAATACTAATACCTCTAAATATTTAATAGTAAACTAGCCTTAGATCTTTATACTTTAATAATTAATATTAAACCTTAAAGTTAATACTATAAGAGTAGCTATTATTAGATTTAGCCCTAATAACCTTATCTACTCCTTAGGATCTATTAAAGTCCCTATACTACTTAGTCCTATTACTTTCTATATTATACTAATAAATATACCTTTCTTATACTACTTTTATAATATAGATAAGATAGAAGTTATATTTAATAACCTTAATAATATTATAAAGTAGAGAGACTTTAAAGTTTTAGTTATCTATAAATAGAGGTATCTCTAGATATTTCTCTAATAAAAATAATTAGTTACTTATTACTACTTTAGTGAAGTTAAACTTTAATAACTTTACTACTATTTTAGTTACTTATTAGTTACTAAACTTTAATATATCCTTATTAAGGCTAAGTATAAGGTTAATAAAGGCCTCCTTACTTATCTAACTAAGGTCTACTAGTATTATTAACTCTATACTAATTAACTTAAAAGGTTTAGATTTACCTTATATAATAACTATAAGTTTAATTATAAGATCTTTATAAATATTATATATCTTAATAGTAATAAGCTAATACTCTATATTATTAATAATACTACTAGCTTTAATATAGCCTATTTCCTTAAAGATCTATTAGCTTAGTATATTTACAAGGCTTTATATATATACTAGATTAATATTTACTAAAGCCCTCCTAACTTTATTACTATAGATACTAATATTAACTTCTATAGTTATAAATTTAAATATACTACTTACACCTTAGTAATTACTATTAAAAAAGTCCCTATTAAGGCTTACTATAGTATTAGTAAGGTTAAATATTACTATACTACTCTATATTATACTTATAATATTATCTATACTAAAGACCCTTCTATCCTTTATAAGTAAACCTTATAGATAACTATTAAAATTATTAATAATACTATTAAGCCTAATAATTTAATTTTAACCCTACTTATTTTTAGTACCTACCCTTAAGTAACTAAGGATTTAGTACTATTTTTAGGTATTATAAAGCGTTAAGAAGCTATATAAAAGGCTACTAATAAACTTTACTATATATATACTAAGTAATAAGTTTTTAATACCCTCACCCTCTATAATAGCTTAAGTATATTATTAATACTTACCTTCCTATTATAGTTAGATATTCTTATATAGTATAAGAATAAAAGTTAGGCTAGTTTATATAAGCTTCTCTCTATTAATAGGGAGGACTATATATTTAACCTACTTTATAGACTAAGAATATTTTAATTAACCTATATTAAGCCCTTTTATAATAACTTAGATAAAGATATTATTAACGCTAACTCTCTATTAAATACCTCTAAAGTATTAATAATATTAATAAAAGAAGATTAAGAAAGATTACTAGTACTAGTGCTACTACTACTATACTAATATAGCTAGCCTTATAAGGGAGAAGAATACCTAAAGTTACCTCTAGGTAAGTTGTACTAAAGTTTATAAAGATAGATATTTATAGTGAAGATAGTTAATATTAACCCTACCTCTAGTATTAACTTTATACTAAAAGTTAATAATATTAATATTACTACTATATTCTTTACTACTAATAAAGTCTTTTTAACTAATAAGGAATATATTAACCTTAACTTAGCTATATAGCTCTATAAAGTAGATAAGATTAATATATCTAGCTACCTCTTTAAGTAATCTAATAAGGCTAAAGTTAAGAGACTTATTAATTAAGGTGTTTTTAAGATAATTATATATAACCTTATTAAGTATATAAATATCTATATCTTCTAATTATAAATAGTTAATAAGATTAAAGGTAAGAATACTAATAAGCCTTATAAAAAGTCTTACCTTATTATTTAGGGATATACTAATAATAGTAAAGAAGTAATCTTAATATAGTTACTAATAATATAGTATATAAGCTAATACCTTATCTTTATTATTATACTATAGTTACTACTTTTTAGTAAGATCTTCTAACTTTATAATATAATATAAATATATATCTAATTAGTAATAAAGCTTAATAGAACGATCTTAGTATACTTACCTATTTAGATTTATAACTAATACCTAAAAGGTATTATTATAAAAGTTATTAAGCTACTCTATAGTATTACTGAGGCTAATACCTATTAGTAAGCTATATATAGCTATTACTATAGAGAAGTTCTCTAAATAGTTACTTTAAGCTATAACCCCTACTTTCTAGTCTTTTTAATAGTTAACTCTAACTTTATAGTTATTAATATATAAATTAATAACACTTTAAGCCTCACTAATACTAAATTCTTAGTTTATAAGGATAAAGTTCTAACTAAAACCTTATTTATAATAAAAGCTAAATAATAACTTACTATTAACTAACTACTAATATTTAATAGTAGTATTATTAGTATTAATAAGTTAGGTATAATTATTCTCTATTAGAAAAGCTAAAGTAAGAAGCTTACTTTTATTAATACTAATACTACCCCTAATATTATTAAGAAGTAATATATTAAATAATATATACATAGTATATATATTATATTAATCTACTAACCTAAGGTATACTATAATCTATTAACTACTACTTAGTATTAAAACCCCTCACTTAATAATATTAAAGCCCTTAATATATAACTATAGTAGTAGATAGATTTACTAATATAAGGATTAATATTTATACCTATTAACTTATTAACTACTAAACTCTTTATCTTTATTAATAGCTTATTTACTAATAATACTAACCTTATATTATAGCTTAACTTCACTATTATTCTCACTAATAAGACCTCTTCTAATAAGAATAAATTTATAATTAATAGTAATATTATCTATTTTAGTTTAATAAAGAGTAAATAAATTACTTAAAGTATACTAGCTTCTAAGGTCTATAGTATAGTTATTAGCGTTAATATAGCTTATACTATCTTTATAACCCTCTAAATAATTACTAAATAACTTAGTCTACCTCTAATACCTACTATTATTTATACTAACTTATACTTACTATATAAGTACTTTATTAAGCTAAGTACTATAAAGGAGAAGCGTTTAATAATTAATATTATAGCTCTATAGTAGTTATATAAGTACTATAAGTTATATAAAATATAATAAATTAATAGCGATAATAACCTTATTAATGCTTTTACTAAAGTAAAGCCTAACTAGTACCTTATATATTTCCTTAATATAAACTTAGTAATAATATAAATAGAGGGATAGGTTATATAAGCCTAAGTAGTATTAGTATTAGTAATATTAGCCTAAGGTAGGATTAAGTAGTAGTTATAGAATAATTATTATAATAAGGGTTATAAGTAATTATTAAGTAATTACTATAATTACTAGTAATTACTACTTCTTATATTATATATTATTTAATGCTTTCTTTTTAAATTATATTATAGTTACTATTAACTACGTTAATACTAGTAAAAAGAGAAAGTTATTAGTATTAGTAACGCTAACTTATTGTAGTGTTAATTAAGCTAGGTGTGCCTTATATAATTAGCGATTATATAAGGCGCTAACCTCTGTAATTAACACTGCGATTGCAGCTACTACCTCTAACGCAGTTAACCTCATATATATCACTACTAATGTAGTTAATATAATATGATATTTACTGCCCACAGTGACCCTTACCAGCTAGCTGGTCCTGTGAGACCAACAAAATCAAACGAGGCTACAAGCTACTGAATCTGTCATTTCAGTTGCTGCTGAAAACAGTTTAGTAGTTATCAACGCCAGCTTCATCCTTTACCTTCTCCTATATCTGCTTAATGGCTCCCACTGCCTTCTCACTCAGAGGGCCTCTGTTGCATGCCAAGAGTGTCTCTTCCATCTGTGACAAAGAGCTGGAACCGAACACGATACCATCGCCATACTCCTTCCGGAGAATACTGTGGTACACTACCCAACGGTACGCCAATTCCGCCTTTGAGATCTGCTCCTCCTCCGCAATCTTCCCCCACTCCTCAAGGGCAGATAAATAGCTGTCTTTGACATACAGCTTGTGGTAGATGCCAAACATTTGATCCGGGCTGAACCTGGTCCCACCAGACTCGATCTGCTCTCTGGTCTTGGTGAGGAATCCCCCGGCAATCGGCGAATACGCAACGAAAGATATTCCAAGTTTTCGCAGAACAGGAAATAAGTCTTCCTCGGGCTTTCGCGCCACGGCGGAGTAGTTGCCCTGGTATACCGTTGGAAGGACGAAACCGTTGTCTTTAGCTACGTCGTAAAGTCGCTGAACCTCACTGGGAGGGTAGTTGGAAAGACCCAATCTGCGGAATAAGCCTGCTTTGTGAGCGTCGTTGATCCCAGCAAGGGTCTCCTCTAAGGGGGTATTAAGGATAGGCGCGTGCAGGTAGAACACGTCGACTTGAGGGACGGCGAGGGTCTCAATGCTTTGTCTAGCTGACGACAGCATGTAAGGTCGGGTGTTGGCGCCATCAGCCCTGTCGTAACCCCCAAGCCACTTTGTGTCAAGGTCCAAGTCGAAGATTGTGCCAGCTTTCATAGCACCCAGCTTAGCCTCTGATCCAATATAGGCCTTCGCAGTGTCAAGTTTGTTGGAACCATATTTCTTCATCAACTGAAAGGCTTGAATAATGTGCGACTCCGAACTCCCCCAGAAGTTGTCTGGGTAGCCAAAATTAGACGTTCCAACGATGATGTCGATCCTATCTTGGGAAGTCATGGCAGTTGGTGATTGTGTAATGATTCTGGTCAAGTGCGTAGCGAAAAGAATACGTACAGTCAATTGTAAAGTGCTCATTCAAAGTTGAATTTTTCTGGACGGCAAACACATATTTATGTGATTGTCGCATACTCGTGTCCTCTGCTGTGCACGGGTGGCTTGCGATTGTGCGTCGGCACTGTTGAGTCGCGTCTTGGACATAAGACCCGGAGATTTAACATGCTGACAGCCCTGCAAGTCCGTGTGGACCCCGCCCGGTGCCCCATAGGCCTCCAACAGGGTCGGGCTTCATCGTTGCCCGTCGATTTAGGCGACTCAATTTAGCAGAAAAATCATCAAATGCTGGGATGTAGCTACCAAGGCCTGACGATAGAGACCTCTCAATATTTTCACCCAACCTGCGCTTCCTGCAGTCGAAGCATCGTCCGCATCACACTGACGAACCAGCTTTAGCTTCCGGTCTGAAAGCCTGAGTTGTATTAACAGACAACACCTACAATACTCTGGTCGGTTCGGTACCAAGTCCATCCAACTTGGGAGACAAATGTTCTCAGCAAAGGAAGAGTTGTGAACAAGAATTTTTTTGCTTCACTTCAAGCCATTCGTCAAGGCATCACGAACTTCTGCAGGGTCCGGAACATGTGGAGACGGCGGCGACATGGATAGGTCGAAGGACAGCGGAAATGCATAATTTGAGCAATCTCGTACTTTTTGGTGCCCTACGATCTTTTGCTATCAAGCTATCACCAGCTGTATTGGTATTTGTAGGAGTCCTTTCAATTTTGTGGGATCTCATGTTTGCGTTGGTAAAACTATTCCTAAAACCGGTGCTGACACCCCTGTCAACCGGGGATCGGACGAGTACCAGGTGGAACTCAGTCTTGATGAACAAAGGGTCAACCATCGACGGAGTCTCAGCTCTGAGTAGCGGCCGCGCTTGGTGGATTTTTGGGCTCAGCGTCTTTCCAGCCATTGATCTGCCCTGGGCTGCCACAAATCAATCAGTCGAACGGTCGTTGCAGCTGGGATATAGAACGATTCACGCAGGCGTAAACTGCGTAGTAATTGCGTAGTCGAAAGATTTTCTTGACACCAAAGTATCACAGGAAGGCGCCTGTCCGGCCAGGTTTACAATATTCGTGTCGTAGCTAGGCTTGCGGCGTTCCGCTAATGAAGGTTGTCCCTTTCCCGAACCCTGCATCAATCTGTCTCCCTTCGATACTCGGTACACGCGATCATGCCCGCATCTCCTGGTATTGCTGCAACTATTGGGCCAAGGGATAACGGGTGCCCGACATAAGCGAAGGGCGGAATGCATGTGTTGCACATCTGGATGTCTTCTCCAGGACATCATGGGCGCACGCCTTGGAGATCGGCGAGACCTTCCGAAATAACCGTACATGTTTGGTTATAAAGAAAGGAAACCTGTCTGGGTTCTCCATTAGGGGTGCGGTGGGCTCCGTCCCTGCCTTCAGTATCGCCATCGGACGTGCCGCCGGCGACGCGGATAAGCAAACGCCTTTCATTATCCTCTCAAAGCAGAGCGGTGGATCCGACGTTGGCAAAAGCCTTTGGACGAGCGATTTGGAATCAGACCTGGTTGGCGGCAAGACCCAACTCCTCCTCCACAGCCTGAAGGATATGCCAATAACCCTGCCCCCTAAATGCCACCTAAATGCCTTTTTGGGGCCGTTCCAGAGCGCGGAGATGCATCTGATGCCGTCATCATGAGGGCCGACTCCAAATTCAAATCGGTCGGTGAACTACCCCCTGGTTTGTCGTTGGGTCGAGCTCTTCCAGAAGGAAAGCTCGTTCGGCGAAATCGTCTTCATCTAGAGGTTGTAGAATGTCGCGACAACATGTAAGCTGGGCTTCATCCTCTTGCGGCCTGGTCTAACCATGTCTATTAACGACACTCGACTGGGCAAGTTTGGCGCACCGTCTTCACAACTTTCATGTATTCTTTTAGAGACAGCAGGACTATTGTGTCTGGGACTCGGTCATCGTCTTACGCAACGACTGGACACTGGTAAATTTCCCTATGCAACCGGCTAGGGTGCACTGAGGGTTGAAGTTAGCATGGATCGTCGGGACATACAACAAGTCGTCCGTCATGTGGATCACCGCCCTTCCAGATGGCGCGGCACGGTGGAAAGGGCAATGTTTCGTAGTCTGCAAGGGGGATGCTCATCCGTAATTGGCGTTTGCTCCAACTTCGAGACCCTCATAGAAAACGAAACAGCAGACAAAACACAAGAACGACGACAACAATTACCAAGTCTTGATCGTGGCAAACTCCACTTGCAAGCAAATATCCTTGACATGGCAGGAACAACAGAAATCTTCCCTGAAAATGTGGCTGTCGTCCAGTGCGACATCGAAGCAGAACAACTTAGTGTTTCAGTTGCTAACTTCTCTCTTCATAAGGGGGCGCGGAGCCTGTTACCAATCACCGTTAAAATTTTTGACAACGTATATCAGAAGAAATTAGAGGCGGCGAAATGCGTTGTGTGCCTCAAAGTGAGATATGTTGATGGAAAATGCCGAAGTTTGATGCCGCAGATGTAGAAGCTGTTGTTCGACATTGACCACACCGTATGACTTGCCCGGACCGTCTACCTTGTTTCAAGGCTTCTCGAAAGGCGCCGTGGCATTGGGGTCAAAGGAAGCCGGGTCGATGTAGCTTAGAACAGCCGTTGTCATGGTGTTTGGTTGTCTTTGCAGTGACGATATGAAGTACAGGTTGAAATTTGAAGACAACACAAGATGCATTTGACAGTCTGTAACGGGTCTCGGTCACTTATACGCAATAATGCAACAGGAGATGTTGAAGTTAACGTCGGCGGAGTTAGCGTATTTGCACGGGAAATATGACGTAGCCCCAAGGATTTCTCGCGATTGATTACATGAAAGATGTGTCTGTCCAAGCACGGCTAACGTGGGTGTAATCCGAACTTCAAGGTTTTCAAAAACACCCATAAAAATGCTGGATCAATAGGGTGGAACTGCCCAGTCAAGCTTCCAATACCAGCGGTTGGTGGATTGTTCAGTTTTTAGCTTATCCATCACAACTGCTTGAAGTGGTTGGGTTGCGTTTGCGAGTACGTAAACAGTTTCCTATATCACACAATGGCGCATGAATCAACTGCAGCCAGTCAACTACGCCCAACTTGTCAACGCGCCCGATCGTCAATCACGCCCAGCTGCGCCCAAAGTCAGGTAATACCGTAGTTTCTGGGGAACCCTGGTGATGAAATATAACCTACACTGAGTCAAACAGTGACACCTGCGATGTCGGACAAACAGTTTGGACTACAAATATTATGGAAGTCTCCCGTTTCGTGGTCACAAGGGCACATGGTGTTACCGCTTCCAACCTTTCGTCACTCAAATATCCAGAAGGCTTGATTCCTCAAAATGGCTCAGCTTTGCGATCGGAGATGGACAAGGGCTTCTTACCTCATTTCTACCGATACCGATCTTATCCCGATTCCAGTTCTCAGCTCCTTTTTCGCGTCGAAGGGCTTCTACTGGGCTAATCTTGTTCCCGAGCCCGTCATGAGACAAAGATTGCAAAATTCGTTATGTTTTGCGCTGTACGACATCAAGTCCAACTCAGTGGAGGCCGCTGAAAATATTCTTCGACGAAACGCAGCAGTCAGCTCGGAAGATGACCCAGAAGACACCTCTTGCAGTTTAGAGAGCGAATGCTAGCCAACACTCATCGGGTTTAGCCGCGTTATTACGGATTTCGTGACTTTCGCATTCTTGACCGATGTTTGGATCGAGCCCTCCACACAGGGCCAGGGGCTAGGTTCATGGCTGATTGGCTGCGTACAAGAGGTCATTGAATCGATGCCACACCTACGCAGGAGTATGCTGCTTACAAGCATCTGTGCCATTTTATGAGAAATTGATGAACATGGAGTTGATGAATGAACCCAACGGAAAAAGGTCAGCAGTTATGGAAATGAAATGGAAGGGGCTGGTTAATGAAAGGCAAGGTATCTAAGCCGCAGTGTAACCGTTATATCGTTACACCTAGCTTCCATGAGCAACAGCCGGATAACATCCGGGATTGGGCTGTCGCCTAGGAAGGTGACGAGAATGAACATTAGAAATCTTTTCTTGACCTTTTGTTGCACGAAGGAAATATGTATTTCGTAACACCCGTAACCATGATCATCATTCCATGAGTCTCCACAATGGAAGCCTCTTTAAGCGAAGCGTGCTCCCATTTGTCACAAAAGAAGCAACCTACTGCTGGATCACAGCCCTCACTATGTCCTTGACGCTCTCTTTTCCCAGCCCGAGTTTCTCATTCCAAATGCCACCCTTGACGTTTGTATGGTCCTCTAGTGCTTCACGGCCAAGGACCAATGCCATAATCACGGAAGCTCCACCACCCACGATGTCACCTTCGCCGAGTCTCTTAAAACCATCCAGCCTCACATTCTCGGCAGTCTCTTCTTTGACATTCCAGTCCTGCCCGGTTGCCTCCTGGAGGGCGTTCAGAATCTCAAGCTGAGTAGTTGTAAAAGACTCAACAAAAACAAGCTGATTTCTTGTCTCAGAGGGATGCTTCAGGACCGATATGATGGCACGTCCAATCTGAGCTACAGTGCTTGTAGTAAATCGGGTGTTCCCACCGTCTACCAGGGTGGCGACCCTGTTGTTGAGGTCAAACCCAGTCATACCCAGCTCCAATGCCTAGCATCGATGTTAGCGGAATTGGATCATGTCTTGATCAGAACCTTGAACATACCCAATCGAAGAACGGGCCAGTAATGATGGCGGACCAGCTAATGTGCTCTTCATGGGAAGCAAGCCAGTCCAATTGAGCCTTCTTGGGCTGGAAGAAGGGAACCGCTTCGATGACGAGATCAGACTCCGTGCAAGTATGTTAGCTGAGGCTTCCGATAGGAAAACAAGGTTCATACCGAGGAATCAGACCCATACTCGCTGGGGATAAATCTTTTCACTCCTGCCTTAATGGACGCTTCGGCTACCTTTTGCTGCTCTCCGAGAGCGACGATCGGGAGCATGCTGACGACGGCGTCTTGACCATTCAGTGCCTCAACGAGAGATCCTTCGCTAAAGTCGCTTTTGATCACCTTGGCTTCCTTTGGAAAGGTTGCAGTCGAGTCCTCGCGACTGAGAATAGTCAGGTCAAGGCCAGATTGCAGTAGCTGCGGTAGAACGCCTCTTCCAATATTTCCACTTGCCTATATTTTAGGTTTGTTAGGTCTCTGGTCTGATTTGAAGGTGGAGGATCACAAACAACTTACACCGACTACCACAACTTTGGTAAGAGACATTTTGTATGATACTGAGAAACTAGCTGTTCGTTTGAATGCGTGTTACAGCCTCTAAATTTCGCAGGAGACCGTCAAATCAATTTAAATAGTCTACAATTGCAGTGTCGCCATAACACCCCTGTCACTTCCACATCTGGCACTCACCTTGTATTACCAAGCATCCCTAACTTCCAGTCAAGCATGAACCGACAAAGACCCGAGAGGCGCAATCTCACTGCCTTGAGATCCAGACATAAAGGGTCGTACGAGATCAACGTGCTGAGTAATGTGAGCTCCGTCGGGTTTGGGGCCCATAAGTCGACCCGACGAGGGGGTCAGATACGGCTGTGGGCTAACTGTTGAGCCGACGAGGTCGTCTTGTTGTGCTTTGGTAAAAGTTTAAAGAGGTATTTCCTGCTAGGTTTCTTCCCTGCACCATTCCCTACGCCACAAACTTGAGATAAGGTGCAATAAAGGGTGTGGCCGTCGGCTCGTGTAAAGACCGTCGGCATTAATCCAGCGCCAATAGCTGTGATTAGTGAACACATCCCCACCATCACCAGAACTGTACTTTCTGAACTTTGTTGATCTCGAGATACGGCCGAGCTGAATGACGCAGACCTTTCATCTCTGGAATACAAATCATCAGAATCACGAATGATTTCTGGTATGCACATCGCCACTCCAGCCTATATTCGCTTCCATATGAAGTAGCAAACGACCCAGGCTGACTTGCAACATTCAGCCATCCACCTACGCAGCAAACCAATTGGCATATACTACAGAACCTCGTTTTTACTATTCAAATTCCAACCCGAATAATGGCCGCTTGTGCATCCTCCAAACCAACTATGAAGGCCCTGGTGACAAACAGGACTATCGCAACCCGCGTTTTCAACCTCAGCACCGGAAAGTCTGTTTTCAAGGGCGCCCATGTCACGGAAACGTCGAAGCCCACCATCAATGATCACGAGATATTGGTTAAGGTGCATACTGTGGCTCTCAACCCTAGCGATTTCAAGCATATTGATGTCATCTCCCCAAAAGGGTGCATAGTCGGGTGTGACTATGCCGGAGAGGTCGTCGAGGTTGGCCGTTCCGCTGCCGGAACCTGGAGGATAGGTGATCGCGTCGCCGGTGTTGTTCACGGCGGACTACACCGAGACCGGGGTTCCTTTGCAGAATATCTCAAGACGGATAGCGATCTAGCTTGGAAGATCCCGCAGAGTATCAGCAACGAAGAGGCAGCTACGTACGGCGTCTCGGCTGTGACTGCTGTCCTGGCGGTCAACGTTCACTTGGGTCTTCCGTGGCCAGGTGAGCCGGGGACAGGTCCGCAGTCATTGGCGTCCACGTCAACGAACAAAATTGTTTTCATCTACGCAGGCTCAACGAGCGTCGGTCTTTTCGCCATCCAGCTTTCGAAGCTTGCAGGGTGCACCGTTGTTACGACAGCGTCGCCTCACTCCTATGAGCTCGTCAAGCGCTACGGAGCGGACCATGTATTCAATTACAGGTCTGATACCTGGATTCAAGAAGTTACCACTGGATTTCCAGATATTTCCCTGGCTTTTGATTGCTTCTCTGAAGGGGGATCCGGACCAGCCATCGCCAACGTCATCAAATCTCAGGGCGGAAAGATTGTCACGTTGCTTGATCAAGCCGAATCCAAGGTCCCCGGAGTTAAATACGATATGATCATGCTTTATACCGTGTTTGGTCGCGAGTTCGCCTGGCTGCCACCGATTGGTCCCAAGTTTCCTGTCGACATGGAGCATCGCCAGGCTTTGGCCCGGTTCTATGCGATCTTGCCTCAGATTCAAAGTTCACTCAAGCCGCCCCCCATCAAAGTGGTTGATGGCGGGATTGAGGTTTTGCTTGAGTCGCTGGATTTGCTGCGTCAAGGCAAGGTGTCAGGGAGCAAGCTGGTTGTGAAGTTCTGAGAAGAAGAATATGATCGGATCCAAATGTCATTGTTCGTTATTGTTACCAAGTAGTCATGACCTGTAGAAATCATTTATTTAATACCGAGACCTATGTTCCCTTCTCAATCTACAAAGGATGTACTTTGTTTGCCGAGACTCCGACATTTGAGTGTCTCCATGGAAGATTCATTCGTTCACATAATAATCTTGAATTTTTCGTGTGCCTGTTTGGGAAAATCTGAGTAGTTTATGTTTGTCAGACTCAGAGCCTAATCGTGATTGGTTCGTACATGATCTGCACCATGAACAACATACCGAGGTTCTTCGAGATCCCAACGCCAAATGAGACCATATGTGCCTCCTAGATAGCCCAAAGACCGCATCATGCCGACGGCATATTAACATGTGGAGCATTACGGTGGAGGTTGAGCCATCAATGAGTTCACGCGTCACGGCCGGAGGGAATGCATTTCCGACGGCCCCGCTTGACGACAAGACGTCCATGGTGACAAATTGTGTGACAATGAAAGGTTCTGTCAATTGCTTAAATACGCGATCATATCATTATGAATCCTCTATTTGTTTAGACCCAGCAGAAACCTATCAAAGCACAAGACAATGGCCTCCCTTGATCAAGAACAACCTAAGCTTATCGCAGTACTTGGAGCCACGGGAAACCAAGGTCGAGGTGTTGTCAAAGCCCTTCTGGATGCACCTCACCACTTCGACGTCCGTGCGATCACCCGAGATCCAGATGGCCCGGCTGCTCGAAATCTTTTAGATTTGGTCGGCCATCACGGGAGGCTTACACTTACCCGCGCTGACGTCTATGACTCGAAGCGTTTGGCAGAGGCTTTCCAAGGCTCCTATGGCATTTTCGCCATGACGCAGAGTTTCGTTGCGGGAAAAATGTACCACAAAGAGGAAGATCTCCGGCACGAGCTCGAGGCCGGGCGGAGTATTGTCGACGCCGCTGTAAAGGCCGGCGTCAAGCATTTTATCTTCAGTAGTTTGCCAAACATCGAAAAGGCTAGCAACGGGCGCTACCCCAAGGTGTTCCACTTTGACTTCAAATCACAGATTGACGAGTGGGCGAGAGAGCGATTGCCAGCCGTCACAACCCTGATACCGGGTAAGGCTGACGCCTTATGAGTTCCTACGATAGGGGAAGCTGATGGGACTGAATAGGCCTATTCTACGACAACCTTCGGTGGCCTAACTACTGCCGCCGAGATGGTAAGAAACGTTCACCAACAAGTGGAGGCCTATGTCTGATAATGCAAATGCAATAGACGACGGTACAGTGCGATTTTGCGCTGCAGTTCCCGAGTCGACAGTTGGTGAATGGGTCGACGTAGGGCACGATGTCGGGATATTTGTTCGCGGTATGTATGTCACACCGCTGAGGTCGAATTGGAATTGCTGACCTTTTTCACCCTAGCTGTACTGATAGCGGGTACCTCGAAAACTGCATCAAAGACATATCCCATCGGAAGTCCCAAGATCTCTTTCGGGGAGTTGGCCAGTGTCTTCTCTAGTACGACAGGCATTCCCGCTCGCTTTGAGAGCGTTGGTCTGGAGGACTGGACGTCTACTGTTGTGTCCGTGGCCGGGGAGGGCTTTAAAGAGGACATCCGGCAAATGGTGCAATGGGTTGCCCATGCGCCTACAGATAAGATATGCTACGGGGCAATGAGCCCCGTGGATGACTGCTCATGGGAAGATCTTGGGGTCAAGGCCAGCACGTTCAAAGAATGGATTTTGAGACAGAATTGGCAAGGCCCTTGATTTGACATTCAGGTATCAAGCAGCATCTACCCGCTTCAATTACATGTACAAAATGTCACTACTCCTACTTGTCTTCGACTTCAAGTCTCAGTCTCATTCCTTCCGAAATTGCGAGTCATTTTTCAAGAGATCTTCTTCCAGGCCAGTGAGGGACCTTCCCTGCGGGGCGTCTGTGCATGTCATGACAGGCCTTGACAATGTCACCAAACTAGCAGCCCAGATGACCGCAGGGAAAGCGAATAACGTCACATCCCACAACACATGAGGCCGGAACACGTTGCGAAGAAACATAATTAAAATGCGGGCAAGGAATATGAAGAAGGGATTCCAATGGCTGGCCGTCTGGTGGAAGGAAGATTCACAGTAATGGCAATCTCATCATTCTCATGACCCGCCCAACCTATGAAGGGGTTTGGGATAAGCAGAGTATTACAAATACGTTAGGAAACTGGCACAGCGAAAGTGAAATGTGCTATTCTATTCCGACAGTCATTGACTCCAGGAGATGTGCTTGTAGTCCGTGGACCCATACCACTAGGGTCGGCACAATATTCCTGCCGCAATGTGAGGATCACTAATCACTCAATTTCCTATTCCGCACGGATATTTTCGAAATTAGAAATGCATCGATCAGGTATCTCCAAGACATTATGACCTTTAATGGTCAAATAACGAAATATTAGGCGGATACGGAAACTCCTCCGTCCCGGACGCCGGCCCGGGCGGACGTCCGGGTACGATCCGACTCTTGACCGATTCCCCCAGGGAGAACTCCGATTGATGAATCATTCTGGCATAACGGGACAAAAATTAGACCGAATGAAATTTAGCATCCTTGTGAGAGCAAGTTCGACGGCAGCTTGCCCATCGGAACAGGAATATCTGATTCCACCTTTGCGTCGATTCTCTCAGTACCTTATAATGATGCCAGCGCTTTATTCAAAAGCTTTATAATTCTCTAAGGAGTAGTTCAAATCAAAACAAGTGACCATCATCAAATTGTCACACGGTTGACGTAATGCTGCTTCTGTTGCCGGCTTTTGCTGCATTATTTGCAGCAACAGGCTCAGCCACCCTTTTTAACTCCATTCCTTTCAACCTATCTACAAACCCAACGAAATCCAACTTTCATGTTACCGCTGACAAACTGGAGAAATTTCAGACCGCATTATTAGCCTCCAACGTTGCCGTAGATGACTGGTATAACCGGCACCAGAACATCCAATTCGGCACCACAAGATCATGGCTTGCAGAGGCCAAGGAGGCATGGATCAGTTTTGATTGGAGGGACAAGGAAAACCACATAAATGGGTTCCCTAACTTCAATATCCCAATCGATGACAACAATCTTGGTCTCACGAACATTCACTTCATTGCCCTGTTTTCCCAGAGAAAAGACGCTTTGCCTCTCCTCTTCTTACATGGGTGGCCTGGGTCGGTCATAGAATTTCTCCCAGTCTTGGACATACTTGCTTCAAAGTACAATGCGGACACTCTCCCATACCATGTTATCGTACCGTCCTTGCCACACTACGGACTCTCTGGAGGTCCGTCAGATATGGAGCTCACTTTAAGCGACGCAGCAAGGCTTATGAACGAGCTGATGCGAAGCCTTGGGTTTGCTTCGGGCTATGTCGTTCAAGGAGGTGATATCGGGAGCTTTATCGCTAGGATACTATCGGAAGCATATCCTGAATGCAAAGCATTCCATAGTAGGTTTACATGAACGTTGCCTTAGATGTGCTATTTGTGGCTTACTTCACTCAAGTAAACATGCTGGCACCTTCGTCTCAGGATGAAATTCTCAGCAATACAAACATCACCGCGACGGAGACTGAACATGTTCAACGCATGTACGATTTCAGTGCTAATGGGTCTTCTTACATCCTCGAACACGGATTAAGGCCATCGACGGTCGGGCTTGTTCTTGCTTCAAGTCCGCTTGCTGCGTTGTCATGGTAAGTCTTTCCGCCAGAGGATTTTCAGGGATGTCAACAGAATTCCCTTAGAGTTTGAGTTCCTTTGAGGCAATACATACGAGACTAAACCTATTCCAGGATCGGGGAAAAACTCATCGAATGGCCAGACCACAGATACCCCCTATCGCTCGACAATATTCTTACTTTGGTCACATTCTATTGGCACACGGACTCTTTCTCACGCAATCTTTACCCATATAGACCCATGGCGGAAGCCGCGGTGGGAAATAAGTTGTTCGATGTTCCAACTTCCAAAGTGAAACCTTTCGGATACTCGGTGTTTCCAGCGGAAAACATTCTCATGCCCGAAGCATGGGCCAAAAAAGCATATCCGAACTTGGTGTACTACAAGCGAAATGAGAAGGTATGGCCTCCATTGTCCCTTTTATCGTGTTTTCTTAGACTTACTCAATGCCTTTGTAGGGCGGGCATTTCGCTGCATTGGAACAGCCTGAAATATTCCTCAGTAATGTGGAAGATTTCCTCACGTTGGCTAGGCCGCTCATCGGAATCTGACGATACCACGCAACCGTTCAGGAAGGAGCTCATGATATGAGTCGTAGGCGTTTCGATCGATCACAGATCGGCTACGTATGTTATGAACGAATTGTCTCAGTGGTGGAATTGTTGAGGTGCTCGTATGTGCATGAGAGCTCGGGAGAGAAAGTAGGAACAAATGGAATTTAGAAAGCAGAACTACAGTCTACTTGGGGCATAGTCATAAGTTACTGTTCAAAGACAATATCAAGTCCAGGCGTGATTGCAACTGCGGTGGGCCTACATTTCGTACGTAAGGTAGCCATACTCAGCTGCTAAGAAGCCCTGGTTGGGCATTCGATGAGCGGCCCTCCATACAAGTCGTCTTTTATTTCATGCGGACTCACGAGCTATTGAGCTTTACAATATACAGAACAATTGATAAGACGCGCACATACCGTCAAAGTCTGTCATTCATCATGCTTCGGCCAAAGGGTGAGAACGGACACCAGATGAATCTTTCCTCTTGAGGGAGTAATCGCAGATCCATATCCATTGTTGAACTTTCTGCGAATGGGTTTGTGTCGAGGTTTTGGTGTGGGGAATAGAGCGGCTTCCTGTCTCAACGACCACATAGATTGGTCAAAAGCCTGTGGTACAAAAGCAATGATTGACGCAGTATCAATACGTCATCATGTGCGATTTGCTTGTTTGAAAGCTGACAGTGGTTTCGGTATGTCGTTGTAAAGTCATAATGGCCCCCTACATGTCCATGAGACGCTGCTTTATTGGTATGGAAGCTCAACAGCGAGTAATGGGGTGTAATAGAGATCTTCCTGGGTCGCGAGGCGGACTCTAGTCGGACCCCGACGATAATCAATTCCAGCCCTGGATGTCTTGAGCGGAGATTAAACCCCAACCCTCATCTCACATACGTTTTAATTCCCGACCTGTCGCTAATCCGTTTTTTCCGCCGCATAATCCGCTTGGTGCAACGGTAATTGACACCATTCAGCGTAGCCAACAGGTCACACATGTGGATTGCAAGTGGTACGTGCAAAGAAAAAGCTCTGCTGCTACAATCCATCCAGTGGCAAAACGAAACCGACATACAGGGGCTATACGAGCCCGGGTATCCTGTAGTTATACGAACCCGACAGTCAGCGAGTATACGAAACCTGCATCAATCTCAGCACATTCGTTGACCATTTCTGTGGGATTTGCTTCCTAATTGAGTTCATATAAAGATATGTTCTTCCTTTGAGAAAGTTGCGTTGTAATACCCTTCTTGGCCTATCGCGTTCAATTGCCTTACCAACTAAACACAGTATTGCCGGACTCTGGGTCAAAATGTTGCTATTCTTAGCCCTACCCATCATCTGTCTTTTTCTCTATTACAAGTTGCATTATCGTCGATTCCGCAAATATGCAAACTTTCCTCAACTGAAATCTTCCCTCGTCTGGGGCCATCTTCAAACTCTTCACAAGGTCCATAAAGATCGCCACCGCATTGATGGAGACATTGGTATGTATTTCACCGATGGACTAATGATTGATAATTAACGATGAATTTCAGATCCTGTCTTTGGCGATCTCATGGAGCAAGCCGGCAACCCTCCGGTTCTCTTCATTGACTTATGGCCGCTGAACGAGCCCATGCTCCTGATCAGAGATCATGACGTAGCCGAGCAGGTTTCGAAGCAATCCCAGTTATGGCCTTACAGCCTACCGAAGTCGCCATCGTTTAAGGAATATCTACCGCTCGTTGACGAGCATTCGTTGATCTGGAAATCTGTGGGTAACAATAGTATCGGAAACAGTGGATTTTACTTACGACATTGGTGGAACGTAGGGCCATCACTGGAAGACATTGCGCAAACTCTTCAATCCTGGCTTCGCGCCCAAGCATCTCATGACTTTGTTGTCGGTTGTCCTGAACAAAACAAAGATCTTCGTGCAGATTTTAGACGAGCATGCGGCTAAGAAAGATGTATTTGATTTGTCCTCTCCCTGTACTAATCCCACGTTCGATATAATCGGTATACAGATCCCGTTCAAGCTCACTAGGAGATATAGCTGATCAAAAGTTAGGAGCTGTGACCATGGACGAAGACCTCCACGTCCAAGTCCCAGACGCACTCCAGAGTCACTTCATCCAAAATTACAAACGGTTTGCCGCGACGTACCGTGCCGATGGTTCCCCTTCATTGTTGCCTTCTTTCAGTGTACGCTGGGAGCGACGACGGCTTGGACAGGCCTTGGATGTCTTTCTCGGCGACGTTATTCGACGGAAATTCGATCTCTACAAAGCAGATAGTAACACGGCAAGTCGGAGTATCCTCGCCCTCAGCCTCAAAGACATCAACATGCTCACTCAACCCATTATGGACGACATCATCAGCGCATTGAAGACATTCCTGTTCGCTGGGCACGACACGACGAGCATCCTGCTGCAATGGGCTTTATACGAACTTTCAAGCAACCCGCACACACTTGCGCGCATGCGGTACGAATTGGACCAGGTTTTAGGCCAGAGCGCTGATCTAGATCATGTCTTTGAAGTAATCAATAAAGGCGGAGAAGAGGTCGTCGGTCAGCTGAAATACACGTCTGCAGTCATAAAGGAGGTTTTGCGGTTGCATCCTCCAGCTGCGACAGCGAGATACTCCCCTCCGGGAACCGGATTTCATTTGACTATGCCCGATGGAAGCCGTATCTGCGCCGACGACTTAATGCTATACAACGGCAACTACCTGATTCACCGATGTTTGCAGGTCTATGGGGAAACAAAAGACGATTTCATCCCGGAACGATGGCTTGATGCGTCAGCTTCCAACTCCCAAACCAGCACTAAATTTGAAAACGCTCACATCCCCCCCTCATCTTGGAGGCCATTTGAGCGGGGACCTCGGAATTACATCGGGCAGGAACTGGCCAACATTGAGGCCAAGGTGATTCTTGTTGTTCTTGTCGGCCGATACGACTTGGTTAAAGAAGGATTGGGCAGGCCTATACTTGGAGCGAATGGCGAGCCATTGCTGGACGCGAGAGGAAGGCACATCACTGATTCGGATGTCTACAATGTAAGATTGGAATCCGCTCAACTGCCTTACCCACGCTCGCTGACCATCGAAAGTCTCGACAGATTACCGCACAGCCAGTTGATGGAATGAGAGTTAGGTCAATCCGCAGAACAACATAGAGACATCGAGGATAAGATTGCAATTCTTTTCGTAGAACACGAAATGCTGAATTCCATTGAACGAATAGCAATCAGTTAGTTATTCACGCCAGGGCGTTAAGCAGAGAGCTGGATATTTATCTACGGTTTGCTGTCAATAGGAAATTCCATTCTGAAACTGAAGAAGAATCCAAAAGGTAGGTCAAGGGCGCTACATCTTCTTGAGAACATGTCACGCTGTCGCTGGGACCTGCAGCAAATTTCCTCAGTGTTCGCGCCTCTGCCTCCTCAGCCGTGAAAGGAGCCACTAGGTTATCTGCGTGATTTAATTTTCAGTGGAGGCGCCAAGCTAGAAAGTATGGCTTCCATGAAATTGTCATTTGACGACCCATTCTGTTTCCGGAAGGTTCACTGGGCGGCTTCAATTGGTAATATGGTCTAGGCCAACAGATCCATCGTGTGAGTGTCCCTACCCCTCACCATTGAGACAGCGCATCCCATTACGCAGACAAGAATCTTCAATTCCTCTGACCGCCCGCACATTTGGCTTCTTGCTAAGTATATATCAATACTAGAGCGGGAAAGTATCGCATATGGGCCGCAAGGGTCAGCAACAGCAATCTTGAGAAATGAGACGCATAGGGTGACTATCACTACCCTTCGACTCCGGTCAAACATTTAGATTCTTGATGGACGGCGCATCTGTAAGAATCAGGTTGATTTCAAGTTTTGGTGCCGGGGGACTAGCTAATCACCATGGCTTCTGAGCTCATAGGTTAACCTATCGGAAGGAAAAAAGTGGTTACGGAAACAAACTGGTTCCGTGCTATCGGACTACATCCGAGTGGACTCAACAACTCGCATCATTCAATGCAACCTCCGGAAGCAAATTGATGAGCAAAAGCTTCGTTAATATAAATATTGAGATAAATAAGAGTCCTGGACGTGCCTGTTGGTGCTCCCACTACATCGATGCAACGGCCATTCAAGTCTTTCACTACCAAACACCGTACGGGAACTTGGAGCCTGCCATCATGCTCACCAGCGTCATTATTTCCACCGCCCTGCTGGCAATGTCTCAGCCAGTTATGGCATTATGCGGCTGCAATCTCAGGGTCGAAAGTCACATCAGCCCGGGATTCTCGCTGGATGTTGTGTCAACTCTAATCGTCGGCTCCCAAGCTGCTGCGATAGTTGACTTGCCCCTCGCCGTTTCTGCCGCCGAAGACCTGGCAAAATGGGTCAAGAACACCACTGACAAACCTCTACTGGCCGCCTTCACAACACACAATCATCCCGATCACTATTTGAGTGGAAAGGCCTTTCTCCAACACTTCCCCGACGCCAAGCATTACGCGACGCCTGAGACAGTGCATGGAATCCAGAACGAGGCTCTCAACAAGGCAAGAATTCATGCGACGTGTGAGATGACTATGACTAACAACTACGCTGATTAGACCGAGTTCTGGTCTACGGCCTACGGTCCCGGTGTCATCGCCCCCATCCCCGCGATCCCGACCGCGTACAACTTCTCTTTCTTCGCCCTCCCAGGCGATGAGAAGTGCCCGATCGAGATACTCAAAAACGTTGGTGGCGACACGATCGACTTGTCTGCTTTCTGGATTCCGTCCAGCAAGACCCTGATTGCGGGCGACGTCGTCTACGGCCACGAAATGCATGCGTGGCTCGCCGACCTTCTCACACCTGCCTTGACCGAGTCTTGGCTCACGACTCTCGACTTCATCGCGGGCCTCGGACCTAACCTCGTCATACCCGGCCATGCATTGTCAGCCGATACCTTCAGTGCTATCGCTGACGTCAATCACACGCGAGAATACGTTTCGTTCTTCCAAGAGAACATCGAAGCTAAAGGCGCCGACTTTTACATCCCACAGGAAATTTCGGAATTGATCGACGGTGCTTTCCCTGGGTTAACGAACCTGACATCATCAACGACTTCGGCTACCCTTCTCAACATAACTTCCGAGAACTTTGGCCGGGGCGGACAAAAACAGGTGCATTATTTCGACTTGACTGTGTATAATGACACAAAAATCTTGGATGGGTGGCGTTTGTAACCAACGTGCCGGACACAATGAAAACCTTGGTAGAGGAATAACGCATTCCAGGTTGGTTTGTGCAAGCATACACATTGGCAAGTGCGAGGGGCAGTACGTGGTTTTTGTGGTAATTAATGAGTTGCAATAACGGCCCAGCACGCCGCCTGCCAAACACCATGTCGATTTAGACATCACTTAATCTTATGCTGAATGGCATTCTTCTTCCCTTCTCACTTTCTTTTCGCAGTTTGCCGCCTTATTATCTATCATACAGTGAAAAAGAATATCAGCCCTTAGGTGACCTTGTTCAGCTGCCAAGAAGCTATCCAACACTCATGTGCGGAGTTAGCCCACAGCGCTGCGGCTGAACCATTGCCAATGCTGGTGGCTGGAGTTTAAAATTCGCTGCAGGCATTTTTCAAGCCACAAGTCGAGGTTTTGGACTGGCTTCGTGATTTTCTTTCACTCGGGTCTTCCGCTTGCATGTACTGCAGCTCTTCCCCCTCGCTTATCGTGGCTTATTCAGGTCAGCTGTTCCCTCTAGGCAGCTTGTAACGGTTTCTTATGGCCTAGCCAGCTATTGAGCTATAACTACGGAGATCTTGTTCTCTTATAGCTGCGTCCTACCTAGTATGAGCTTTCTGAATCTTGCTGTTTGCACTTTCCTGGCCAACAGATTTTGACGTAGACGATTCTCCGCTATGAAGCCTTCGCAAGCACTTCTTATAATTGTGTCCTTGACGTCCTCAGCTTGGGCGCAAAGCAACACGCCCTCCCCTCCACAAGAGGCAGCCTCCTCTCAGGCACGTCAGCCGGAAACCTCAGCGGCCAATGCTCCAGCATCATCAGTCGCGAGACCGCCCGCGTCAGCTAGTTCACCCAGTAAGTGCAATCAAAACCGATTGTCCCTATGTTTCTGGACTGATACAATTGCATCAGATGTAGATATACCACCCCCAGCCAGCTCCGCCCGATCCGACCCCCAAGAAACCACCGCTGCCGTAAGTCAACCTGTGCCGAAGACGCCAGGAAATTCGCCCAAAGCGACATCCGAAGTTGTGCAAGTTGCCGCCTCTTCGAAGGGAAACGACCGGACAGTCGATTCGCCGTCGCCTAGTGTCGTCAACGTAAACCCGGATAACTCTAACAATCCGCAGGCCACCCGGGCCCCGTCCATCTCTGTCCAAGGAGGGGCGGCAAGCACCGGAGCTGCATCCGCGTCTCCAACCACCAGCAAAACTGGACCAGCGCAACCAGGTTCACCTTCCAATGGCAATGGCACAGATACTAGATCGGGCAGCGGGTATGGCTTTTTACTTCACGATTGCTAGGCCCTAGAAATTGACATGGAACAGATCCGGTGCCGGCGCCGGCGCAGGTGTAGCCACCGCCTCACCGTCATCGCCGAACCTCGCAACAACAGTGTCCTTCTCCGCCCAGCCCTCTGATGGATTCTCAAACGTGAACCAGTCCGTCGTCGAGAAGATGCCTGAATCGAAAACACCGACGCCACCAGATGCTTCTACGCTTGAGCAATTCAATGCTGAGTTGACCGCCAACGTCCCCGAAAAGGCCATATCTCAGAAGAATGCGAAGGCTCTGGCTATCTTGGAGACAGCTTACTTTGAGTATTTTGTCAACAAGGACCCCGCACCGGTAGACATGGGAAAGATCGCAATACCCGCCAGCATCTCCCAGTGTCAGACGCAGTATGCGAGGAGTCTGGTAAAGAGGAATAGCATTGTCGACGAGGTTCTCAGCTACGTTCCTCTCCTGTCAAGAGATTTGCGCGGCTTTGACGATTGCAAGGCTGTCGAATCGTTGGAAGTCGGAGTTTACTTCCATTACATGAGAGCCACATCAACCGCCGACAGGCCCAATGAGCTGGAGTCTCGAGTGAAAGCTCAGGTAAGAGACAAACTCGTCGAATCTCCGAGACTTCCGTGAGAGCTGACAGCGCACGTGCAAGGTCGACGTCCTCAACGAAGCGCTAGGCGCAATCAAGATCAACTTTCGTTACATGTCCCTGAACTGGTGGGAACCCAAGACTGGCGAAGACTGGTCCGTCGTCACACGCAGGGAAACCAAACTGCAAGAGTGGCAGCAGCGCACCCGTGCTCCGGGAAAGCTCACTCTAACAGTGTGGCTTGTGAACGGGCTTCGCGGGAGCCAAAACGACGATCTCAATAGCGTAAGCGTTGCCCCTTTTCTCGCGACCGTCCCTGGCTAGAGGAGGAGTTCGCGCTAACCCGTCACACCTGTCACGGATAGTACGCCACCTTTCCCAACGAAAACTTGGACGCGAATGACGGCATCGTGATTGAGGCCGCGCATGTCCAGGGCGGAGATTCCACAACGCTCGTTCACGACGTCGGACACTGGTTGGGATTGGGACACACATTTGGCGACATCGGGACGCACTGCGCCAGCCAGGACGGGCTGACCAATGCGACGCAAACATCGGGAATGAAAGACGTGGTTTACGAATGTTCTCAGGTCCCCTGTTCAGGCGGGAGCGCGGTTGAGATAAACAACTACATGAGCGTAAGCGATCCCCGTTTCCGTCGTTTCGGCATCACCCACGTGCGATTGAAGATGAGTTTCAACAGGCTGACGCGTCAAACAGTACTCCTCATGCCGCGGCAAAACTCCGCAGGACGGGTTCACGACGGACCAGAAGGCGCGGATGTTTGCCAATGCGCTGCAGTTTCGTCGCGGGTACGAGGCGGGAGAGTGCATGCCGGACGGCAAGGCGGCTGTGCGGAAACGGTCTAGCATGCAGGATTTGTTGGATGGCAAGTGCCCTGACGTTGACAAACAAGCCAATATCCTGATGGACACGCCTCATAGTCTGAGCGCGAGGGCGCACGGATTGTCAAAGATGGGATGGGCTGTTCTTGCAGGGTGGTGGGCGGTCACACTGGTCATGTAGGTGTGAGATGGGATGAGATCTTGACTGATGTTTTCGATATTGGTGTGTTGGCCTTCAAGGAAGACAGGCCCTGGTCCGTTGAGTGTGTCACAGTAATGATGGCTTCACCAGAGAATGAGAACATCGTGAAGTCAGATCAAAAGACGTATTAATATTATATACCAGGCTGCTTGTATTGTTTTGAACTACACGCCCGACCCCAGTACGTCCGAATGTAGAACAAGGGTGCCGCGCCGAGCATCCCAAGTTTTGTTGGTGAATTACTCATACAACATCAGCCCATGAGCCATTTCGTCACACCTTTTTCTCACCAACTGGCGTACATCTGACCCAACCATTCTCATAGCTGCGCCGACATACAACTCAAAGGCGTTCCCAAGCCGCTTAGATGGCGAGGGCACCGAGGACGAGCATGGCCAGACCGCCGATGGGGGCGAGGGCACCAGCACCAGCCTGGACGGGGGTGGTGGAAGCGCTGCCAGCACCGGTGGTGGTAGCGTTGCTGCCGCCGGCCTTGGTGGTAGTCGCGGCGACGGTGGTGGTGGCAGCGGGCTCGGTGCCGGTGACGGTGTTGTAGGGAAGGGAGACAGAGCCGCTGGCGGAGGTGGGAATGCTCACGGAGGGAGCGGCGGAGGAGGCGGCGGAGGCAGCGGAGGATGCAGCAGAGGCGGCAGAGGAGACAGCAGAGCTGGCAGAGCCGGAGCCAGCGGCAGCGCAAAGCTTCTCGGAAGCGGGGATGACCTCGCCTGGTGATGGGGTTAGCTGTGAGCCAGTTGGGAAGGGGCATGACGGTGTAACATACTGACGGCCACGTCAACACCGCAGGCGGCGATAACACAGGAGGTGGCAGCGCTCTGGATGGCGGCCTTGTTGTCGGGCTTGCAAGTGCAAGTGTAGTCACCCTCCTTGCAGCTGGTGGCAGAGGCGGTGGCCTTGCTCAGGCAGTCGCGGGCGCACTCGGGGATGATGGAGGCATCCTGGGCCGCGACGAGGGCGGCGAGGGCGGCGATGGCGAAAGAGTACTTCATCTTGACGGTGGTTGAGGTTTGGGTATTACGTGTGTAAGTTGATGGCGATAGTAATACAGTGAAGGCAGCGGGTGTCGATTGATATGGACAAGCGAGTGTGGATGAGAGGGATGGAGATTCAATATTTGGAAGAAGCTGCGGGATGTAGGGCTTTATGTAGGTGGATGTGAAGGGTGGTTGCACTCCGGTGTGCATGCGTGGATGCGCAGGCGGGAACTCTGAGCTCAGGTGTGGAAAAGATGGTCAATCGCGGAGAAGGTTTGCGAGAACCTGGTTGGCCGGCCGCATTGAGCTGGGAAAAGGGCGGACTCAACGAAGTAGGCAGAGAGAAGTCACCGAGCAGGCTTGAGCTAGAGCAAAAGGACCTGTGACCACGAGGAGGGAGTGAGGCAAACCCGGGGGTTGAACGAGCTGGGAGCCTTCATCCTTGCCCATCAGCAACGTTGTTGTTAGGCTGGACGGAACTTGCATGCATTGCAACGATATGATGAAAAAGAATCGAGTGACAACGGCTCGACGCTGTTAGTTCCCCGCGCATCCCCGAGCTACTGCTCGCGCCTGATCGTATGGAGGGGAGGCGAGGGTTGCAGAGGACAAGGGGGCTAGCCGGATCCACTGCCAGATTGGACAGTCTGGTCCGATGGGGACGGGGATCATCTCAGGTCGGGGGCCGGGCGAGGATTTTGGACCGCCTTTCCGCGGCGGCGCGTATGGGACAGGCGGGAAAGGAGTGGAAGGATTGACTATGCTGCGCAGGGCCGTTGTCCTCTTCCTGTCACTCGTTCGTTCGGTATTCATTTCGCTGGACATGTGAAGAAGGAGATGGATTACCTAGAAAGGGTGTAGCATGATGCAGATTGACCAGCACCTTGCAGTGTTTGGAAGCTGGTTTTCTGCATTGGATCGGGTGCAATTTCGGGCCCAACAGGCTAGATTGCTCCTCGCGACAGATGACCGTTCGTGCTACGCCGTAATTCACCTGGAAATATTCTGCGGACGAATAATGTTGATTCAATTACACTCATCGATGACTCGATGGCGGATCATACGTGCTGGTCTCGGTCAAGAGCCCGATTGTCCAGGGTGTTGCTCTCTTCCTCCGTTTGCTGGGCTGAGAAAATCCGGGGTGACTGGGGGCGAGCGGAAAGATTTCTTGGCTTCAATGACAGGGTGGAAACTGAGAGTTCCTCTCTGCATGTTCGATGAGTGAAGGAGAAAACACCAAAAGAAGCACAGCTAAGCTCGAAAGACTGTGCGCAAAGTCCAGTTCAGCTCACCTCAGCTCAGATGAACCGATGGCTGAAATCCATGATTCTGTGTGTGCGTCTATGCAGCACAAAGTTTTCGGTCGGGAAGTCAATTGGGCATTTTGGCTGAAGGTGGCTGGTCCAGAGATGTGCACAATGGGGACACCAAGCTCAGGTACCAGGCAAAAACGCGTTGCCGAGACAATATTCGCTCGTATTGCGAGAGGCAAACGAGCCAGAATTAGCCCGGACGGCACTCTGGAAAGGCGAATGAAGAGAGGGCAAAACGAGAATGCAAAAGAGAGAGGTGGGCAGACGCAGGAACAGCGCGGCCACCAGCCAACGATCGCCCCCCTCCATCACAGTCCGCTTGGGTGCCATCCGTTTGTCATGTTCGGGCTTGATTGGTTAGGGCCGCCCGCATCTGTGGCCGTCCCGACCTGGAGAAGGGAGGGGAGCAGCGCTGTATGTCTGGAGAGGTGCCAATTTCCCCCGCACGAAGCCAGTCCAGACTCGGAAGAGAGTGCCTGGGTACCCCTGACCAAGTTGCAAGCCTGCCGAGGCGAACATGCGTCCTGCAGGGTAAAAATCAACACGAAAAGAAGGAAAGAAAAGCATCTGATTTTGGGAGAGTTGTATCCATCAGTGTTGACGAATCATGGCTGACACCTGGTTCATTCACATGTATTCCTTTTTTTCCTGCTGTCAGCTTGCAAGTTTCGGTGTGTCATCCTGTCAACTCTGACGGCCAAAAGTCTGGCGAGAGCTGATAGACGAGCAAGACGAGACCTGTCCGGCGGTTTGTCGCCTTTGATTTAACTCTAAACCAAAGCTAACAAACCAGACGAGCCTGTCCAAAGACTCCAAATTGTTGAACGCGGGGCTCTGGCTGGTCAGAAGGCCCAGTCCGGCCCTTTTGCTGGGGCGGTGCAGGGATGCGCCGGCGATGTGGCTCGACGAATCGGCCGAGCCAGCCGGCTTTTTCTCTCCTCGAGCCACCAGCTTCTCTGCAGCTCGCGCCACCACCACATCTCCTGTAGAGATCGTAGCCCGTCGCCACTTGTGCTTTAGTGGCTCAATGTTGAGCAGGATCTATTTTCTGTGCGCCACAGCTTGAGTTGACAGCCTTTCTGAGATCGTGATTGGGGACCTTGATATTCAGCCATTGACGATGTCTTGCTTGGCCATTCTTTCCCTCAGTCCCGACGATAAACGAGAAGGGGTCTTGAGGTTCATCTCGCCTGGCGGCATTGACGGCAGAGAGGTCTGCAGAGAGGTCTGTGGTGAGATTGAGACTCCACCGTCATGTGGAGAGGTTGCCGGGGTCTCGCTCTCAGAACACTCCGGTCCTAACAACAATATCCGTCCCGGGTGGTGGAAGGGGTCCAAGGCTTTCTGTCCATCCAAGTGAATTGGGAGCATGCAGCTCTGGCACGATGAAGTCGCCAGACAGGAGGAAATTGGAAGAGACCAAGCGAGCGAATCTCGTGACTAGAGAAATTTCGGCAAAAGTTATGACATGCATCCAAGAGAAAGTGTTGGCCCAACTGAGGGTTCCAAGGAAAATAGCGTCGAAGACGGCTGTTCCAATCGCCTCCGGATTCACGACTCAGCCAGGCTCACGTAGCACTGGCACGCTTTGAGGCGTTGCAGGCGATCTGTTTGACATTGAGAGGGATCAACACCATTCATGATCGTTGACGCTGCACCCGAGGCTGCTCGTGACACTCGACTCCAAGCGCTGACTGCCCGGTTTGCTGGATTGACGAAGAGGGGGTGACGTCGGCACTCGTTGTGCAGCCTACTGTTGCATGTTGACACTTGATAGGCTGTTGTGCCCGATGCCGGCTCACCCCTCCGTTTTCCCGCTTCTCGGTCGTATTCTTCCTTCTGACCATTTCCTGCTTTCGCGTCTCCTCCGCGGCCTTGCCTGAGCACCAAACTCCTTGCTGTTGCGTCTGCAAAATTTTCAACTTTCTTTCTTGTGCGTTGTCGGCTTCCGCGAGTGTGTTGGTCGTTATCGTTCCATCTGTTCCTTTTTCCCGTTGTATTCCCTCTTTCGCGTTTCTTTTGTCGAGGAAAAAGCAATTCTTGACATGCCGGATGCTTTCCGATCCACCTTATCGTCGTAATCTGCTCAGGGACATTTTTAGTCGTCGAAGAAGCAACAAATGCTGTAGGCAGCGATAGGGAGAATGTTCATCAATGCGTCAAAAGCTTTGACTTATCATAACGATATGTCATGATCGCAAGCGTACCGACGCGAGGTACTTTGACAGGCCGAGTTACTGATGTTGACTCATTCGCAGGGAGACGTGCGAGCAGTCAAGGAATTGGGAAATGGAAAATCAGGTGTTGAGATAAGCTTGGGCCCGACAGGCTGGGCAGGCGGGCGTACCTTAAGTAGTGGGGTGTGGCATTGAGCACGTCATGCAGTGACATGATGGTATCAAATCCCAGGGGAGTCGAGTGATCTCGGAAGGCAAATAGTAGACCAAGATGCGGTTGACAGAATATGTATCAATCAAAATGCTGACCACCTCTTCGGAGCCCATCCATAGGCAGACAGTGGTTTAATCAGGCTCTCTTCGTATCAATACGCCATTTTACCTGTTCTGTGCCGGGACAGTTGAAGGTAACAGAACATAAAATTAACACGCAGGCTCTCACCACCTAATGTTTTCGAGCTTGAAGAGACTCCAACGTGAGCTGTGTCTCGAATCATACCAAACAACTTCCTTCTGTTCCAGATTCAATTCATTAAACTGAATAAAAATATCGAGTTTCATTCTGAGTTAAGGACGAACATGTTGATAGTTGTTGTCTGCCTGTAGTCCGATAGAACATCGAAGCCGAATCATACGTACTATGTACTCAGTTGATAATTGGTTCAGTCATGAATGCCAGATCTTACCCGTCTGGTATTCTAGAACTCCTTCACCGTCGTACTTCCAGTTCCTAGTTACATATTTACACATGCTGTGAGAGACCAACGCTGATCTTGTCGTGTCTTGCCAGTCAGCGTCTCAGGTACACATCAGACCTTGAGGAGCAAGTTCTGTTGTGATCGGAAATGTCTTCTTCATATTCAAATGTTGACAGACGAGCAGGATAATCATAGCAGCTGATAAATATGTAGTTATGATAACTGCATCTGATGCTGCTTTGAGAGGAATCAGTGGTAGAACATATTTTTGGCAATGAGCTTCAGGTAGGAGTTAACTTCTTGGTAGTGCAATATGTCGTGATAGTAGTAAGGAGATGTAGACATTGACCGCAGTGTCAATTATATTATCAGTGTTATCGGGCTACTTTAAAGCATAAGGTAATTGATAATCATTAGGTTCCGTTCGTTGTAATGACAATGCACCACTATCCTTCAAGCCAGCATCTCAATCCAACAGACATTCACCATCGGCACAAATTTGAAACAGGTCAGGCATTCGCTCTGATTCTAATGCATCGCGACTTGCCTGGGAGATGATCTCGGTTTAAACTTCGAATTAGACAACATTCCAGATCGTAAAGCAAGTCTGTGATTCTAACCCGTCCTCCCGACTACTCATAATACAAACATAGGTTTACAATTTACTCAGTGAAACAGCTTGTGGATTGGTGAATGCACCACTAATATGGAGAGTGTTGAGTGCAAGTAGCGAAACCTGTGGCAAGTCGGCATGAAGCTCCCTGTGGACTTCTACGTGCCAGGGGTTGGATCACTAATGCACTGAATGACGAGGATCTTGACCTTTACGAACAGAATTAGCAAGTGTTCTTTGATTTTTTCTGGACAGCCACTACCTCAAGACAAACTGTGATTCTTGCCCAGCATCCAACGGCGTGCTCTGCTCCAACGTTACTCGCCATGTACCATCCTGGGCACTTGGCTCATACGTCCTTCTTCTGACTCCGTCCTCTCCGAAGATGAGTTGCTTGTTATCGAGAATCGACCTACACGCCTCGATATGTCCAGCGCTCGCTTCCCGCAGAGCCTCGGTGGATCTCAAAATCGCATCAAACGCTCTCGAGTCCCAGATTCCGTCCCGCCTCGGGTATTCTCTCATGAGCTGATTCACGTCCTTCCTCACCTCTGGGTCCGCGCAAAAGACACCAACGATCATGAGTGGCCATGTTGGACTGCTTTCCACTGTGAAAACCTCCTTCTCAATGTCTGGACCATGGTGCTGTCCGGACATGACTATCCTGCACAAGGACACTATCGTTTCGAAGGCTGGAGTAGAATCTGCCAAGTAGTCAAGATCATGATAGTACATGCTCTTGAACCCCAATTCCAATGACAGATAGTAAAGCCGCAAACTTGACATCTGCAGATACTTTTGTGGGTTTGATGCTCTTTGTCGTACAGCATCCTTGATCAATGGCTTGAATCGGAACTGCCATTTCTCCATTATATCAAGGTATTTCTTCGAAGTCTCCGCCGTAATTTGTGTCATCGGGTGGGGGTTATCTCGCTGAAGTCCCTCGAATGCGAATCCAGACTTGATACCTGACTTGTAAATAACGTGATGTTGCGTGATTTCCCACCACTTTTGTGCCTCTCTCAGGTCATTGAATGCCGGCGGCATTTCGTCAATGGCGTATCGACTTCGCCTTCCCCGACAACACCATGGCACATATGCCTCGGTCTCTGGTGGATGAAAACCGTTGAGGCTCCACGACAAGAGCGTGAAGCGCCGGAACCCCGCTTGAACCTCTTCGACCAGCTTCGGTGGGCACTCCCCAGATATTCCCTGTTTGATGACTTGGTCCAGCATGTTGCATCCGTGATTCATATGCTGCAAAGCGGCTTTGTGATTACCCTGCAGAGACTCGAAGGTGACGAAGAGCAAACATGACAACAACGCGCGAGGAATGCTTCGTCGGGACTGGTCGCCGTGCCTAATGATCTGGATGGCCTTGCCGTAGTGCTTGTACGCTTCCTCTGTGAATTTGCCATTCCCTGATGTTCGATCTTGGCGACTGTGATTCACCATGGTCGCAGCGCCGATCGCGAAGGCCGCGTGCCGAATAGCAGGCTCATCCCGTGCGATTTGCGGCATCATGTGTGACATCAGATCTGTCGGGAAAAGCGTGAACTCCTTGGTGAAATTGAGCCAGTAATGGAAGTGGTCTTTTTGAAGCTGGTCGGTGAAAAGATTCGCCTCGTAGTTCGGCTTGATTAAAATTGTGCGCCTCTCGCCTAGGAACTTGGGCAAGTCGGCTGCAGCAGGCTTCTGGACGTAGCCCTCGCATGTTCTCTTGGATTTCGCACAATTGAGACATGAGGGCTTGGCCTCATCGCAACGTATCCGCCGCTTCCTACAAGCATCGTGAATGAGTCTTCTATCAGATGCAGTCGACTAACATTGTCAGGCGCATTGTGCGGTTGAAGCGATACTTACTTGCATGTGACGCATCCTGATCTCGTTTTCGTGTTCTTGGTCCGGTTGGCTCGGGGCCGGCCGGCCACCGCAAATGTCAAAATGCCCGGTGCCTTTCCGGTCCCCTTCCCCGGGATGGAAGCCGGAGCTGACCCGGGATCTGTCGCCGATGTTTCCGTGGTTGCTGGCATCCCAAAGGCTTGGATTGAGGCTTTTTGAGGAAATGTCTTTGGGTGATCCAGGATCTTGGGGCGGGTAGGGCTGATATTTGAAAGGAGAATGCATGAGGTGCATGGTAGTTCGTCGAGTCGGAATCGGCTTAGGTGAGAGCTAGGGGTTTTAGGGGCATCGAACGAGTCCACTTGGGCGCCATTCCCCTCCCATTGCCGACTTCTTTGATTCGGTCAATGCCGAAGTTCTCCTCCGGTCGGCAGCGTGACGCACCTTACTCGGCAAAGGCCCAATGGAAATGTTTGATCCCAGTGAAAAGTGCTATTGGTTCCAGGGGTCTCTTCCTTCGATGCTCCCGCCATGGAGTCATGTTTGCGTCTATGTGGCATTCAACATGCAAACCAGCATGCGCTCATTGCAGGGGCCATTAGGAATTAAACCGGCGGTCGGTCTGGACCCATTCCAGGCAACCACGTTGAGTCTCGGCTAGTGGAAGTTTGGCGTGTTCGATGCGTGGAAAGGCTCCTTTTTCGGTTAAATCAATTTAAGCGTGACTTCCAACAGGATATGGGGTTCACCAATATCACAATTAATTACCGCCGATTTTTCCAAGGGACGGTGACAGCATTTGGTTGGAGGCTTGTGCCCGTGCAACCTCGATTTAGCTTGCAGTCATTTCTAAGAGCCTTGCTTGGGCTGATAACTATATTTCTCAAATGTTGCTTAACGAACATCTCGGTAATCTCTTCTGTATCAGGAGAGTTTCCTCATTTGATGGAACTGGCAGATGAGGGGACGCCTCTGGTCTGCATCCATAAGCCAAGCCTGGAAGTTGGAGCAAGCTCGGCCTCCAGCCGTTGAGGCCTCAACAAGTCAAGCCGAGGAACAGTCACCTTGGCAAAGGATGTTGATAACAAGATATTATGATCCATGTACCTGTTGGTGATCGCAAAAGAAATGTTTGGTCCCTTCGTAGTCTTTCCCTGTCAATTCAATATTCTACCATCGAAAAACAACACGTTTTGAGACCCTGATTCCACGCTGAAGGTCTCAGGGGGGCTTTTATGCTTGATCTCGTGGTCTTAGCCTCGAGCTGCGAGGGCCTTTAGCAAGCAACAGAAGCAGCTCAAACCAGCAATTCGATTGCCCTGCAGGGGTAGATCGCTGCAGTCATACGGCACGGCAAGCTTGTTGACTGGCGATCTCATGCAAGGAATATTAATAAAACAAGTCTGCAGATTCATTGCAGCTACTTGGAAGTCAAATGAGGCATTTTCTTCTAACCCAAATCATTTGCAGATTGACATCTCCCAGGCCCATAGACAACTGCGTTTAGCACACATTCAATCTTTAACATGACAAACACGGCCGACCGCCTGTGTCCTGATCGCTCGGAAGATTCGCTCCGACAGGGTGGAACTCATTTTGAGAGCGATATTGGGGTGTTCATTGAAGGTCCCCTCGGTCGCTGGAGGTTTCAAAGGTCATTCATGTGGTTCATTCGTAACACTTCTCGTGGCATTTGCGTGGCTGTGCTGTCGAGCTAAAGTTCTGTCTTTTGATCCAATTGTCCCAGCTAGGCTGCGGTGAAGCCACAAAGAGTCTAGGCCGGTTGAATAGCTTTGTCCCAATGTCACAGCCACTCGGCACTCAACGGGCGTCCTGAGTCATCCGCTCAGTACACATAGAATACGGTCGTCTCATCGTTGCTAGCCCTCAGCTTCCTGTTGCGACGCATCATGATGACCCTGGCCACCCAAGCCAACATGGCAGTTGCCGCACTGAAAGCCGCACTGCTCGCCATGGCTATGACGTAGCGGGGCTCATCGCTCTTGGGCCAGAGGTACGGCGTCCAGATGAAGCTGATGTTCATGATCATGGTGACCATGGAGATGGCGACAGCCTTCTTTTCCTTTGTCTGGCCACAAACACTACCGCACCAGCCGAGAATCAAGGAGTTGACACCGTAGGTACCTGTAGATGGGTAAGCTTATGTGTTCCAATGTCAAAGGTTCAACTTACCAATTGTGAAAATACACATGGCAACATAACGACCAGCCATAGACATAGTGGCGGGCGCGATGGCGAATCCGATGATGGCGACTGCCTTGGAGATGGTGATATGCCATGTGCGCTCGTTGAACTTGCCCGAAGACCAGGAAACGGCGATGGTAACGGCGCCAGCAATGAGGTAGGGCGGGCATGTGAGAACAAGGGTCACAGTGGTGCCGAGACCGAGAGTCTGAACGACGGTAGGGAACTGGTGTCTGTCAGTACCAATGCATATAATCATTCTGCTTTCCCGAACATACAAAGTTCTTGAATCCGTTGGCGGCAAGATGCATGTGAGCCATGGCGCAGAAGATCCAGACCATGGGGTCCTTTGCGGCCTGCTTGAGACCGTTCCAGGTGCTTGTCTCGCCCTTGTTGGCGACGGTGTCAAGCTCCATGCGGTTGTATGCGAGGTCGCGCTCCTCCTGTGTCAACCATCTCGTGTTCTGTGGGAAGTCGGGCAGGAGGAAGTAGCCGACGACGGCGATGACAAAGGTGACAGCACCCTGAAGGATGAAAAGCCACTTCCATCCCGCAAGACCTCCAGCACCGTCCATACCATAGAAGATACCTGCGGCAATCAATCCAGCGAACGCCGTCGCAAGAATGTTTCCTGTGTAAAGGATAGCGATACGTGTCGCGACCTCCTTACGGGTGTAAAAGAGGGAGAGGAGGTAGACTGCGCCGGGGTAGTATGGGGCCTCAGTTACTCCCAAGAAGAATCGTGTCAAGAGGAGGCCGGTGAAGTCTTTGGAAACAGCAGTCAGGGCACTGACGACGGCCCACAGCATCATCATAATTCCCTGTCATCTTCATGAGCAATCGTAACCAGCGGCGATAGAATGCGTACATACCATGTAACGACTGGGTCGGGTTCGCGTGAGGAACATGTTGGAAGGAATCTGTCCTCTGAATACCGTTAGATACGCTTGTTTGAGTACAGAATACTAGCAACACTTACAAGATGTATCCCACAAAGAGGATAGAAACGCAAGTTTGGTATTCTATAAATCCATATTAGCGGGCTGAGGAACAGAAGCGCAAACGCGGTGCCAACAACGTACGGGTACTGGTGAGGTTCAGATCCTCTTCGAGGTCGTTGAGGCGCGCCAGCGCAATCGCATTGCGATCGAGGTACTGGAAATACGAGTTATTACACAGACTTCGGTGGTCAGATTAGAACCCAACTCACGTTCAACCAATACATTGACCAGAGCATCGGCTGCTCAAGAGTTAGCGCACGCTATTCCAAGTGGCGGAATGATTACTGACCATGATCCATCGGTCCAGCTTCTTCACAAGTGCAATCTCTTTAGGGTCGGTCTTCTCATGAGCACCAGAGTAGTCAATCTTCCCACTCGTCTTGGGAATGGGCTTCTCAGGGTTCTCGTCCTCAAAGAACTGAGGCTCGACGTCTTTGCCTTTACCGTCATCATCGACGATGTGGCTGTTGTCGGGATTTGTGGGTGCCATGTTGTGGAATGAATTGTCAGACTTCGCAGAAGTCTCTGGTTTGAAGACGTGAAGGAAGATATGAATTGACTAATACGAGGCTACCGCTGGCGTCGCTGAGCACAGAGCACCATGAAGAACAAATCTCAGCTCGTGTCATCGGCCGTCGGGAATGGGGGCTGTTATGTAGTCATACGTGGTGGAGATGCCCAGACTCTGAGCTCGTGGAACGTCGAGCACAAGGAGCTTGACCTCCCTTCCACGCCGTGCTCCCATGTCGTGCTCGCGATCGACTGAGCTGGGAACATGGGTGTGGTCACATTTGGGACACCCACACCAGTTCACGCCAACAAGAAACCTTCTTCTTTGTTTTGCCAAGTCATGCCCGACATGTTCCGACAATCCATGATCCCATGGGTTTGCCCAGACGGATAGCGTCCGCGATCTTATTCTTGGAGCGCACAAGCAAACGGTTGGCTGTATGTACGTCGGCTAGCTGCTATTCTCAGCGTCGGCAGGAGGTTTGGTTGTTGTAGCTGTGCTACAGAAGACGCCTTCCAAGAGAATACCAAGCGTGGATAGTGTCACATTTCCTCTCTTCCCCGGCATCTTGGCGAAAGCTGGTGTAGATCCACGACGAATCTTTTCCCCCTGTTGTCATACTGAGTAGTAATAAAGACTGCCGGACGAGGGTGAGAAAATCCCCGGAGACCTCAAGATGGATGGCAGGAAATGTCTTGGCCATGCGGCCTTCTGACTCGAGGTTGGCCTTCATATCGTCTGTCCAGTGATGATAGGAACCAAACTGACCAGATAGGCAGGAAGGCCGATACGATGCTTTTTCGTCGGGCGCCACAGATGTTCTAGGGCGCCCGCATCTTGTCGGTGCGTCTTGTGGGCTGCGTCCCGTCTCCATCCGGGGTAGGGGGGGTTCGGTCGGTGGGGAGAAGTAATCTCATTGAGGGGCCCCGCGTTTGCACTCTCCATCGGTCAGTCTGCCCAGCCGTATGCGAGGTCCTTCGTGGGGTTGATGGGGCTGGATGACATGACTTTGGCTGAACGACAACACGGTGTTCGGTGCGGTCTAGATCCGTATACACTACGAGTGGTGCGCCGAGAGCGAAGTGCATACGGGTTCCAAGAAAATGGCGTACTGCCAAGTGACGCCAACCAGTGCCAACCTGGTTTCAATCTTAGCCAACGTGCTGGGTGAGGTGGTGCACTGGACATCTTACCTGGGTTCCCTTGACGAAGGAGGCGCCACGGAGTGGTCTGGGATGCGAAGTAGTTTGGACCAGGTCATGTCAGACTTGGTCAAGCTCTCACTCTTGGCGCGCCGACGTGAGTTTGTCTTGAGATCGGCAGTTGGGCGACAAGAAAGCTTCCTTTCTGGCACGGCGCGCTAGAATACTTTGCCCGCGCTAGAAAAAATCTCCCGCGCTTGAACACATAGGCCTATTGGACGAGCTCTTGAAGAAGCATTTCGCAGCTTCTGGACGATGAATTAGAGTTACAGCTAGAGCTGTAGACGAGCGTTTGGGACTCACTGGGGAGCTCTCGTATATGTTAGGTACGGATCTTAAGAGCCACATGGCCCAAAGGTCTGAGCATGGGGTACGGGGTTGTTGAACCAGACTGGCGGTTGCTAATATTAATGTGAAAAGTGGTTTCTGCAGCGTCTCGGAAGATCCCCGTAGTCCAGATGATACAAGACACCCCGGATTTCGAGTATTGCGAATGACCAATTGGCCGCGCCGCAATGTTTGTGGTAGCATGCATGGTACTGGTTGATGATGATGTGGGATCGCAGGTGACCATCCAGGAAGAGCAGTCTGACCTGCGCATCCTTGTGAATCACCACTCGTAACCTGAACCGACGGACCTGGCTCCATTCTCATCTCCTCCAAGGTGGGCCACCGCTGCAGCAGACCGCCGGCGCGCCATAGTACACCTGTCCCAGCATCTGAAAGGTTAGTGCGGTTCTTGCGGGGCTTCCCATATAGCCAAGCCCCGCAAGTAGTACGCTAACCTTTCAGATGCTTGGACAGGTGTAAAGACGAACTCATTGGGGAAATGTTCCATCTGAGGCCCCAGCACCGCACCCGGCGGCGCGTCCCCGGATGTGTCAAAACGAGATTGACAGTTGACACAGGCGGCGCGGCGATGATTCCCCGGATCTCGAGCCCCATATTTGGACCCCAGTCCTTACCGGACCCTACATCTGGGACGACATTGCCTCTGATGTGCGTCCGACTACATGTTCGATCCATCGCGGGCCAAAGGTAGCGCCAACAAGCGCGTCGCTTCAGCTTCTCTCGTAAGTATAAGGCATATTCCCTTCTCGTCCGTCTGTCTTTGCGCAGCCTCAGCCACCCCCGCGAGGGGCAAAGGACTGGATCGCCCGTCGCCAAGACATTCTCGTGTAAATTTCAGCGGCCAAGTGGAAGGCCAAGAAAAGCCCAGCGTCAGAAAGCAAAGCTGGGCATGCATGGCCAGCGCTTGTTCTCGGCGACTTGGCGAGAGGGGAAGGGCGAGGGAGTTTTATATGTAGTGAACCACGAAGTTGAGCTAGTTCAGTCAGTGAGAACGTCGTGCGGGCACTCAATGACCGTTGGATGACCCCATTCCGTCTCCATCTCCCCCAACTTTACCCCAAAGCCCAGCCCCGGTAGCCCCCCACAACGGCCACTTTCAGTAAGGTTCGAGGGTTGGCTTTGGTTGGCATTGGAGTTCCCTGGTGCTTGTCGGTGACGCCGGCCTGAACGCCGTCAGTGGCGGCGGGAGGAAGGCCGGTCAGCATGTTCAGGCCGAGAGAGCCCCTTGACCGAGCTTGATATCCACCGTCAGTCATCTGAGCAGCAGAACCGAGGGCCCCAACAACATCCATGATCCAGATTATGTGCTCAAGATTGGCAATCCCCATGGGGTAATCGCGTGGCCAGTGGGGGACGAAAAGTAAACGGTGCATATCTCGACCTGTGCGGTCGCTTCTGGTTGCAGGACGACCCCAATGTCACATTCAACGGAAGGATTGGACAGCCCAGAGCAGTTTTGTCGACAGCACCAGCCACCGCTCTTTCGGCATGTTTCGACATGCGGGCAGTTTTGGTCCAGTGACATTGACCGCCATCTTGGTAACTCCGATGTTGTAGAGTCGCATTCTAACTGAAGTGCAGCTGGAGACCCTGCCAACAAGCCGGAAACAGAACCCTTCGATTCGACCAGCTGCATTCACCAACCACCAATCACCCGCCTCCCTTCCCATTCATTGTGACCACACGCCATATCACCACGTTGCCTCTGGCTGCGCGGAGACTAAGTCGCCATCGGGGACAAATAAGAGTAATCTCTGGTCCTTTTCGTGGGCTCTCCTGCAGAACGTAGTGCAAATGCATCAGATAGTCATAATCATCGGACATCTTGCCAGTCGATCTGGACAGCATTGCGTATCGATTTCCCTCATCTAATTTGGGCTGTCAAGGTTGAACCTTCAATCCAGCCAGCACAAACATGGACATACAGATCACAGCACCGACTGCCCACACCTTGAACCGAAGCGGAGCTTGGTCCTGCGCAAGCTTTTCTCTCTCCTGGTGCCAAACATAAACGTACGTGTACAGCACACGGCTTGCCAGCCAACTTATCGAGAGGAAGTTCATGACAGGTGCGGAGATGCCCGCAGAATTAGCTGCCGTCACTGCGGCGGCGTACAGAGGAAGAGCCTCAAAACCATTGGCTGAGCAGGCTTCAGCCCGCAGCAACCGTCCCCGAAGCTAATTCCCAGTCAACGCCAAGCTGTTCAGAGTGTACTTCTTCACTTACTCTTTCATCCAAATCAGCCTTCTTCAGGGTTTCAGAGAATTCTCTAGGATTCTGTCGATCGAAAAGCTTTTTTCCGGGGCCTGCAAGTCCTGAGTAAAATCGTGGACCAAGGGCAAGCGCCAGTGCCAATGGAATCTAACAATAACCATCAATTATCCGTGTTGCATAGATTAGGTGTGTTCAAGTTTACCGTGAAATACGATATGTTATTGCTTAAGCCTAGTAAGCTCGTCATGATGTGTGATTGTATTGGTCGCACGCCGAGGACACAATCGATTAATGAGTCGCGGACGAGAGGTATTCACTACTAGGTAGGTATCATCCGCTCACGTCCCCGATGTTGCAACATTTTATGAGAGCTTGAGGGACCACTGATGCTTACCAACCATGACGATGATACCACGCGCTAGTAGCAGTCTAAGCCATACGGCGTTAGCGAACCCCTGATAATTTCGCAATTGACCACTGCATTTCCTGCATGCGCTACTTGATCTCAGATCCACAACCATTTCTATTCTCATCTTCCAAGCTAAAGAAAGACAGACGAATTCTCGTCTTCCATAGAGTAAATGCATTTCACAATCGTACATATACTTCATGGGTGAATATTTGTGTCATGGACCTCATAATCATATTGCGACCGCTTAAAACTTCAAATATTCCGACACTGGTCGGGGCATCCAAACAAACGGTGGAGGCCCGAAGCACCAATTATTCTATGTGACCGATCACTGAATAGAGACCATGACCGAATCTTCCTGAGATCGCATTCTATGCTGGAGGAATTATTCCTCTCGGCTGACTATGTTGCCGGAATCTAGCCCGTATCTATCCTCCTAGACTTCAAATTACCTATGCTATGGATACCTATAGGTACCTATCTAAATAGGTTAGGTTATAGGTATACCTAGAATATAGGTAGATAGGTTTACTAGGTATATAAGTAGATATTAATCTAGATATAAGTAGAGATTCTACCTATACTTATAAGTTAAAGGTATATACTTTCTAATAGATATAATAAGGTATTATACTAACTATTCTATTAATTATATAAAATTTAATTTATTAGTAATATAGGTTACCTATTTTAAAAGAAGTAAGTTTATATTAT